CGACGGCTGGCAATCGAACTTCCGGGTTCGATTTATCGCGTCTGGTCGCGATAAATCGATCCTGGAAGTGCTCGCCTTCGACTGCGGTACTCCAGCTCGGCGAGAGGAGTACCGCGGAGTCGACGGGGGAGCCTGCCTGCCGCGTGTGGACCGCGTCTGAACCGCGGTAAGTTCGAACTAAGGTATGTCGACTTCAGCTACGTTATTCACGTAGCTGAAGTTGCGTACCTTAGTTCGAATTGGGGGGTTAGTGTAGACCAGGCCTAAAACATGACAGTATTGTAAGTGAAAGAGCCAGAGGAGAGCGACAGGTTAAGCAGGGGATGAGGGTGGAAACAAGGGAGATCAGGAGGGTTGGGATGGAGCCTCCTGTCTTCAGACTTCCTCTGCCCTCGGTCGTCTTCTGCTTGAGGCTTGTTCGAGACTGAGCCTGTATCCTTGTTGCAGCTGTACCCCAGGGATCTGGCCTGCATTAGCACCATGCTAACTTTCGAGTACATCAGCCAGCTGTGCCAGAACAAGGAGTGGGTGTCCCCGACTTTGGAAGCCAAGGCTGCTGAAGGTGAGTCAAGAATCCGTTTCTGCTCTGGCATGATGGACGGAACCAGGGGCAGAGCCTACCGCCAGCAAGACGAAGTTCTCACAGCTCATTCTGAAGCTCTGACAGCTCCCTCTTTCTGTCTGACAGCCTCAGCCTCCTGCGCTGCTCCCACAGATCACCCAGCCTGTGGCTCAGCTGGCGAGGGTGCAGGCTGGGCTTGTGAAAGCCAGCAGGCACCCTGAGGTCTCAGGGCAGGGGAGGAGAAATCCTTTGGTCTGGCTTGCGGAGCAGTTCTGGACGGGGAAGAGCTGCTGTCTGTCTCCCTTCCCTTTTCCCTGACTGGGCACGGTGGGTGTCTCAGCTTCTTTGCAAAGAGAATCCCTCTTAGGAGCAGGCGCTCAGCTGCTATGGTCCTGAGGGTGGGCTGAACACCTAGACGGACAGCTGAATGTAGGAAGGGTTACAGACCAAACCATGGGGAGCTCCCTTGATGCTCCAGGAGCTCTGTTCTCAGGACCCTTCTGAACCTCTTGGAGCACTAAATCCCTTAGCTAGAGATTGCAGCTACCTGTCTGCGAGTCATGTTCCCTTGGCACCTCCTGATCTGGTGCACTAGCAGCCCAGGAACCTCGACTCATTTAACCTGGGTGACCATCCCTCCAGAAGCAAAAGGGTCTTGGAGGGCAGCACTGCAAGGGGACATGTTCCTGCTTGTGCAGTTTCATGTTGGCGCTGCAGCTAGCGATGGTCCACCAGTGGCTAGAGGGTGGTCCCCGCACCTAGCTCTCGGTTGTACAGCAGGGGGCCAGGCTTTCAGGCAAGCTCAGTTCCAGCATCTCCACTGTTCTTGAGCAATAAGGACTTCCCGCGGGAGCTGAGCTGTTCTGAAAGCCCTGCCCACTCTGGAGCCACTGGCCCTGTGTTGTGTGGCAAGGTAAGCTTGGCACCATTGGGCAGCGGGATCTAACCACCAGCCAGTGAAGGTGGGAATGAGAGCTGGGGAAGCCTTGTTCAGGCCCCTCTCCCCCGCAAGGCCGGGCCAGGGGTTCCTCTGGTACTAGGTGCCCATGAATGCAGCCCCTGCTTCCCTTAGGATGGATTCACAGCTTAATGTGCTCCCTGCCCGGTTAAGATTTCCTGGTATTCAGCCTATTCTGTCCTGTCCCTCCAGGTTATACTCTCCCTAACCAAACAGCTCTCCTTCTCCAGCTTAATTCAGTCCTGAGTCCCAGCCTGCTTTTTGCCACCTTTGACTTGCTCCTGAAGAGTGGTGGCAGCAGAAGGGTTTCTCCCTCTCATCGCAGCGATGCTCGGACTGTGGCGCTGAAGCCGCAAGTGCGCTTTAATGTGTCTCCTGCGGCTCTTTGCAGCACATGATATTAAAAGATGTGTGATTGATTAATAGGAAAAGCAGCCTGATTTAATTATGTTATTAACCAATTGTAATTGGTAAAATAATATACTTGGTCAGTCTCTTTGCTGTGAGAATATCATCATCATCATCACTCCCATAACCGCTTTGGTCATTGGGGCACCATCAATGATGGTGCCATCGACCAATTGTCTCCACCCCTGACGATTGTGTGTCAGTGCTTGAGTCTCCACGAAGTCCATTCCTGTCCACTCTTAGGTTGTCAGTCCATCTCTTCTTCTATCTACCTCTTCTTCTCTTCCCCTCTACTGTCCCTTGGAGGATCATCTTGAATAGGCCAGATGATCTTGTTACATGGCCGTACCACTTCAGCTTGTGCTTCTTCACGGTCGTCAGGAGGTCTTCATATGACCCAGCGCATTGGGTGATGATGTTGCGGACCTCTTCGTTAGTGACGAGGTCAAAGTAAGAGATGCCCAGGATTTTACAGAAGTATCTCATCTCTATTACCTGTATTTGCCGTTCAAGTTCTGCCATAAGGGTTCATGTCTCGGACGCATACAGAAAAATGGAGATGACCAACGTGTGCAGCAGTTTCAGTTTGGATTCCAGGGAGATGTTCTTATTCCTCCAAATTGGCTTTAGCTTTGTCATTGCTGCTGCTGTTTGCGCAGTTCTTGCCCGAATTTCTGCCTTGGATCCTTCATCAGTGATGATTGCCCCCAAATACTTGAACTGTTTCACTGTCTCCAGCTCTTGTCCACTGACAGGGATATGTGAGCTCATCCCATCACATTTGTTTGTCATCAGCTTGGTTTTCTCTGCACTGATTTCCATGCCGTATTTTGCAGAGGTTTCATCCAGTCATTTCACAAGGTTGGCAAGTTCATCTTTGCTGCCTGCCAGGCCATCAATGTCATCAGCGAACCAAAGATTTGAAATTGTTCGCCCCCCAATGCTGACTGTGTATATGTGATCTTCTAGGGCATCAGTCATTATGCGCTCCAAATAGATGTTGAACAGTGTGGGAGAAAGAAGGTAGCCTTGTCAGACTCCAACAGTGGTGCGAAACCACTCTCCTATTGTGCCATTGACGAGAACTGCACTGCTGGCCTTGGCATACAGTCGTTTAATGGTAAGAATAAACTTACGACCAACACTGTACTTCTTCATGGTTGCCCATAGAGCTTCGTGCCATACTCTGTCAAACACCTTCTTGAAGTCAACAAAGACATGGTAGATGTCCTGCTGGTGTTGTAAGTACTTCTCATATAGAACACGAAGGTTGAAAATCTGTTCTGTGGTACTTCTTCCAGCATGAAAGCCAGCCTGTTCTTCAGTGATGATATTCTCTGCTTGTGGCTTCAATCTGTTCAATATGACTTTCAACATCACTTTGCTGGGATGGCTAATTAAGCTTATGGTCCAGTAATTTTGACACAATTGCAGGTTGCCTTTCTTTGGCAGAGTGATGATTAGTGACTGTGTCCATGTGGAGGGCCACTCACCGGTCTGCCAGATCTCGTTGCAGATCTTGGTGAGTACATCTATTACTATTTCTCCTCCAAATTTCATCAGTTCGGCTGGGATGTTGTCAATACCTGTAGCCTTTCTGTTCTTGAGTGATTTCACCGCTGTCTCCACTTCTTCACATAGTATTGGAAAGTCATCCTCCTCTGTTGAATCTGGGCTGTCTAAGACACTAGGATCTCCATTTGGCTGGTGGTTGTATCGATCAGAGCAGTAGTTTGTCCACCTATTGATGATGTCCCTTTCTTCTGTAAGCCTGTTCCCTTCTTTGTCTTGAATTGCGTTAGCTTTGGTCCATCTTTCCTTCGTCAGATCTTTTACAACCTGGAAGGCTCATTTGCTATTTTTATTATTGATACACTTTTAGAGCATTGTTTTTCAATCCGTGGTTTGAGCATTGGCCTGCTACTCCCAGGGTTGTGAGTTCAATCCTTGAGGGGACCACTTAGGAATCTGGGGCAAAATTAGTACTTGGTCCTGCTAGTAAAGGCAGGGGGCTGGACTCAATGACCTTTCAAGGTCCCTTCCAGTTCTAGGAGATAGGATATCTCCATTTATTTATTGATTGATTGATTGATTGATTGATCTTTCTGCCAATTGCTCTATATTTATCAGCTCCCTCAGTGCTGGTCTTGTCTCTCAAGTTCTCTTCTAATGTCACACATTTGTAGTATTTCATTTGTGACTCACGGTTTTGTCTTCTTACGATGTTTCCCAAGGATGCCCATTGCTGCCTCATTCATTACAGCTTTGAAATTGTTGGTCATTGTTTCTACGTCTTCCTCTAGAGCAAGCAGTGGGGCAAATTTTCCGCTGATCATTGCTTGGAATGACTCTGCAATGTTTTGGTCTCTGAGTCTTTCTAAGTCAAACTTGGTTCTGGTGAACTTTGGCCTGACGATTTCCCTTAGCCGCAGCCAAAAATTTAGCATCACAAGGTCATGATCACTTCCAATATCAGCACCGGGGAAGCTCCTTGTTTTAGCTCGGTTAATCCCAGAACGAAATCGGTTCTGCACCATGAAGTAGCCGATCTGGCTGTGATGTAGGTGCGTGCCATGTTGATCGTCTGGATGCTTTATGTGTTCCTAATGTGTTTGCAAGAATCAGATTGTTATAGCTGGCAAACTCCAAAAGTCTTACTCCTCTCTCATTGGTTACCATGTTACAGAAAGGGCCACAATCATCTCACCAATCCGCCTGTGTGTCAGCACCCATGTTAGCATTCTAATCTCCTTGTACAATTAGGATATCTTTCTTGTGTACCTTATCGATGATATCTTGGAGCTGATTGGAGATTTTTACAATTTGCTCATCGTCATAGTCTGTTGTAGGAGCGTAGACTTTTACCACTGTGATATTAAACGGTATTGCTTTTAGACAGATGGAAATAAGCCTGCTGGACATTGGGCGCCATCCTAATACTGAATTCTTGATATCTTTATGCACAAGAAATCCTGCGCCGTTGACACTGTAATAGAGTACATGGCCTTCTTCCATTAGTACCTCTCAGAAGTTCTTCCATCTGACCTCAGAGATTCCTAGGAGGTGCCAGGTGTATTGTTCCATTTCATACCTGAGTTCTTTCAACCTCCCTATTTGTCTCAATGTCCTTACATTCCATGTGGCTATGTTGATGTTATCTCTTCCACGGATCCTCTTTGTTGGGGTTACACCTGTAGTATATTTGTCGCGTCTGCCCTGTTGGGAGACGGATGGCGCAGTCATTATTAACACAGGCTGCGATCAGTCTGGTATGGACATGGTTGACTTGCTCATCATATGGTGTCTCTTGGGCAAATTTCTAACCTGGTGGAGCCCATCCCTCTCCAGGCAGCCCCCTTTAGTTGCCTCTTACAACATGCAGGAGGAGCAGTGGGCCTATTCTGTCCCCGGACCCACAGGGAGCATATATACAAAATATGAAGTATTTCCCAGTCATACTGTTTAAATATGACTCTACAGCACTATAGTAAATGAAACAACGACTTCACATGGCTGTGGCTCTTTTGGGTAATGCTGATTGCTAATTTGGCTACTGAGGTCTGAGTCTCGCTGCTGTACAGGATCTCACTGGTTTTCTTTCAAGAGATAATTGAAAAAATGCGTCATGCTCTTCCCTTCCCCTGCAACAACTCTCTCCTTCTTCCAGGTCATAGCAGACAAGAAACATCTGCATCTCTGACAGGTTTCAGAGTAGCAGACATGTTAGTCTGTATCCGCAAAAAGAACGGGAGTACTTGTGGCACCTTAGAGACTAACAAATTTATTAGAGCATAAGCTTTCGTGTAGCCCACGAAAGTTTATGCTCTAATAAATTTGTTAGTCTCTAAGGTGCCACAAGTACTCCTGTTCTATCTGCATCTCTCTCTCTCTCTCTCTGACCTCTCTGTTTGCCACTCATCCCATCTCCTGATCTCTCTCCATCCTCTCTCATTCCCCGCCTTGCTGTCCTTTGGCTTTTGCCCCTCACAGGTTTCTCCCATCTTAAAAACAAAAACCATCCATGGCCCCACTTGCCTCTCCAGCTACTGCCCTGTCTCCCTTCCCTCTCTGAACTCCCAGAATGCGTTGTCTGGAGCTCCTCCTGTCCAGTCCCATCCTAGACCCTCTCCAATCCACTTTCTGCCCATTGCACTCCACTGAAAATGCTCTTGCCAAAGTCTCTGATGATCTCTTCCTAAGCAAAGCTCAGGACCAGCACTGCAGCCTCCTCCTTCTGGACCTGTCAGCTGCCTTTGACATACTCGACCATGCTCCTCTTCTTGAAATCTTGTCCTTCCTTGGCTTCTATGATTCTGTCCTCTCCTGGCTCTCCTCCACCTTCAGCATGTCCTTAGAGGATTAATCTGATCCCCTGCCTTTCGCCTGGGGCTCCCAGGGCTGTGTCCTGGGTCCCCTTGTCTTCTCCCTCAACACCTTCTCTCTGGGGAATCTCATCCACATCCACAAATTCAATAACCATCTTTATGCTGATAACTCAAGCTCTACCTCTGTACTCCAGACCTGTCTCCTTCTGTCCAAACTACAATCTGGGCCTGTCTCGCTCTCATCTCCTTGGTGATGGCTAGCTGCCAGCTAAAACAGAACCCCTAATCTTTGCCAGACAAATCCTCCGCGCTACCTCCTTTCTGCATCACTGTGGACAACACCATCCTATTGGTCACTCAGGCCCTCTGATTCACACCTCTCCCTAGGTCCTCGCATCTACGCTGTACCTAGCAGTATGTTTACACTTAAAATGCTGCAGCAGCACAGCTGTGTTGCTGCTGCAGCGTTTCAGCCTAGACCCTCGCTGTGCCGATGGGAGCGTTACCTCTCCTGTCAGCGTAGGTAATCCAGCTCCCCGAGAGGTGGTAGCTAGGGTGACAGAAGAGTTCTTCTGTTGACCTCTCACTTTCTACACCAGGGATTAGGTTGGCTTAACTACGCTGCTCAGGGGGATGGATTTTTCACACCCTTGAGCGACATAGTTAAGCCGACTTAATTTTCTGGTGTAGACCAGGCGGAAGTCTTGTGTATTCTTTCAGCATGCCATCTTATCAGAGAGAAGTGGGGGAGGGAATCTCTTTTAGTGGATAACGTCTTGGTTGATATCACCTCCCCCACCTTGTGTCTCTGATATCCTGGGACCAACCCGGCTACAGCAACACTGCACCCGTCTCTAAGATACTGCTTTCCTATCCATCCACGCAGCTAAACCTCTCATCCTGGCTCCTGTTATCTCACATCTTGATTACTGCAGCATTCTTTTCTCTGGCCTCGACCAATGCAATCCTACCCCACTCGTATGGATTCTGATGCTGCTGCAAAGATTCTCTCCCTGCTGTGTCACTTTGACCACGTTACCTCTCTCTTTGCATCCCTTCACTGGCTTCCTCTTCTCTTGTTATCAAATGTAAGCTCCTTGTTTTTACTTCCAGTGCCCTTAACAAGCATCCCCACCCCGTGTATTGTCTCCCTCAGTGCAGAAAAGCCAACTCCCACCTCCATGTGGCCCTAGGTGCCACCCTCCAGCTCCCTCTTGTTAAATTCTCAAGTAAGTCCTTTTGTGGTTTGTCCCCTGCTGCCCCTCGCGCTTGGGTGGAGCTCCCTGTAAACAGCCCCCAAAGGAACCGTTAGCCTCCTGCAAAATCTGTTTTGCTCTGCCGCCTACAACCAGTTGTGCGCTGAGACCGCTGCCTGTCATGCTGACCAATGCCATGTCTCTGTGGCCATCTCTTGTCCTTAGATTGGCAGCTCGGTGGGACAGGGGCTCTCTCTTTGTTCTGGGTTTGCTCAGTGCCTAGCACGGTGGGGTCCTACTCAACGACTAGGACTCCTAGGTGCTACGATAATACAAATTAATAATAAATCCTGGGTGATTCTTCCCCCTCCTTGGCTTTAGATGCCACCACACAGTGAGCAGCAAAGGCGCCTTCAGTGTGCACGTCTCCCAGCTTGGGCTGCTTCCAGCTGGCAGGCTCTCCTTGTGGGTCCAGCCACCTAGTGCCCCAGGAGGGAGCAGGTGCCTTATCTCCCTTGTTCTCCTTGCAGGCCCTGACATGGGGGCTGGCTCCCATGTGCATGAGATCCCATTCCAGTTCAGCCTCCTGAAGCTGCTACCCAAATGCCAGCAGATTGAAATGTTCTTCCTCATGCTGACGGGAGGTGAGCACTGACATTTGTTAGAGATAGGGAGTGGAGGGAGAGCAGTGAAAGTCTGGGGAATGTGACGTACTGAGTCGGGCTTTCATTGTAACCATGCTCCTTTTGCTGCAGAGTTGTTAGCAGGGACACTCCTTTCCATGGTATTGACTGCGGTAATTGTGCTTTTGGGGAAGAGAGGAGGGCTGGATTTGCTGCTGCTTAGTTTGTTTGCTTCCTTGATAACCAAGCCAGACGCGCACCTACAAAGGGGAGAGAAAGGAAGAGCAAAGGGAATATGCAGCTGCTGTTTCTGGTGGTGGCTTGCTTGCTGTCTCACTGCTGGAGAAACACAAGCACAGCACAGAGACTAATCAGCACTCCAAGCACGGGGAAACTGGTGCCACCCTCAGGCCGTTCAGGGAATTGCTTTTTGTTGTCTTTCAGGCTCCCACAGTGTTGCAAAATGTCCAGTCTTGGCCGGCTAAGCTGGACTCTCTTTAGACGAAGGGCCAAGGGCCAGGCACAGGAAAGAGGAAATAAGGTGGGGAAGGAAAAGGAGGGAGAAGGGGCAACAGCAGAAACTAATGCCTCACGTCCCAGGTGGTGGTTGGGATCTAGCTGGAGCCAGGGAGATGTGAGGTGATTTGGGTCCCTCTCTCTGGCCCAGTCTGGCCAGGGCAGCTCTTAGGATCAGGCCAGTGAAGGCCCATCAGTATCACAGTGGCTCCTGGTGTGCCAGAGTGGGATGGGGGGTCTTTCAGCCAGTGCTCTCAGGACCCCCAAGCGAGGTGATGGGTGCAGTACCCCAGCCTGTCATTATTTTGTTCACCAGTTGGGTCTAATTTACGACACACCAGTTCTGGTCCATCGATTTCCATCCCACAGTCCTCCAGCAATATCCCGACGGTATCAGCAGGCTGCCTAGTTTGGACGGATGTAGTCTGTCTCCCTTCTGTACTTTTTCTGATAACATTGATTGATGTAGGTGATTGGAACGTTTTATAAACTTTCATCTGCTTTCGCCCCATTGACCTCACAGCTGGGGGAGGCCCCTCGGGCCCCGGTTATTACAGCAGTGCAGGGGAGCTGCCTCCTCTCCTCCCTGCAGCGGTGCCACCTCATGTCTCCCAGCTGGGGCATGCGGGGTGGCTCCTACAGCCCCAGGGTCACTGGCGGAGACGTTGGGGGTTGCTGCTGCTCCTGTGCTGGTGTCAGCGTGGTAGTGGGTCTGTTTGTGAGTGCCAGGCCTGGGTCTCTGGGCTGTCTTGTGGCTTCCTACCTCTTGAACCTTGTCTTCAGCGTGGTTCCAATAGCTGGTGTGGGTGGGTGCAGAGAGGTGTGTGTGGCTGATAGCAGAGGGCTCCCTCTCAGCCTTGTGTAAGCTCACCTTGCAGACGTAATGGGAAAACCTCACCAGCCACATGCAGCTGGCTCCTTGCTACGACCTGCCTGGCGGGAGGGTGCTGGGACAGTAGCTGGCTGGAGCGGGTCTCTGATGCTGGTGGTTCTGTTCTGGAGCAGAGGAGGATGTGATGGCCAAGGACTCTTCGTTTGCACCCAATGAAATGCTGCTAGACTTCTTCCACGGCTGCCTGCAGCACGACCTCAGTGACCGGGAGATCCCTTTGGCGGACATGGATCACATGGCCTTCATGGAGCAGGTCCTACAGCGGGACCGCGATGGCCACCTGCCCCCATTCACGCTCCCAGTGATCCGAGGTAAGGGGCTGAGAGCCTGGCAGCCGGAGACGTGAGCAAGGCGGGGCCCTTGGTGCCCTGCTCCTGGGCTCCCCTCCTCACAACCTGTCTCTTCGGTTCCAGAAGAGCCCCTGAAGGCCCCTGCGCCCCTGGACCAGCAGGATCCCTCTCTAGCTGCTCACCCTGTTGGCAGTAGCGCTACCAGGGACATGAGTGGCTCCACGAGCACCCTGCAGGTACCTCCCTTGGCTCCATGGCCCTCGTGCTGCTGGGGGCCTTGTGCTCCCCTGCCCCGGAAACTCCTGAACGCTGCATAAAGGGGGCAGCTGCTGGGGCATGGCCTGAGCCGGGTGACAAGGATTGGGATGGAGCACTTCAAATCCAGCTCCCGTCTGTGATGACCCACCAGCTTCTCTTGGCTGCCCAGGGGCTGGGAGAAGCGAGGGCCTGGCTCTGGGGCAGGTACACAGCTGGCAGAACTGCCCCGGCTGGCACTGCCCATGGAGAGGGCAGCAATAGAAAGGGCTGGGGATGACACAGGCAGGAGCCAGGCTGAGGAGGGTCTGGGGAAGCTGGCGCCATGGCCACCTGTGCTATACCTGCCGTGGGGGGGAGCCCCAGCCTACGCAGCGTGCAGCAGCACGGGTCTGAGCCAGGCTGCTCTGTCAGCGGGTCGAGCGCATGGACACGGAGGCTGCTGCACCTGAGGGCCAGCCAGCCCCTCAGGGGTGTTTCTGCTCTGTATCACCCCTGCCTTGCCCTGGGGTGTCCCTGCAGTCTTACCGCGCTGTGTTGTCTCCTCAGAGCCTGTGCAGTGCAGAGCTGCCGGAGGCCAACGTGTCCCCGGCCGATGCTGCTGGGCTTCTCCTGCAGTGGCGATGCTACGCTAAGCTGGTCAGTCCACAGCACCTCTTCCTCACCTTCCTGCCAGCCACCTTCCCCGGTGAGTCTGCCCCGCTGAGCCAGGGAGCTGAGTCGGGCAGCAGCGGGAATGCTGAGTGACGCTCTCGGGGGGGACAGCCTTCCTGTTGTGTGGAGATGGGCAGAGCTCGGGGCTGAGGGGCTTAGCAATGGGTCTCTTGCAGTGCTCTGGGACCTGCTTGGCTCCCGTGTGGAGGTTTGGCTTTCCCCAGTTTATTGCGACCTGGTTTGGGGCATGCCTAGAGCTCCCCGCCCCTGCCATGGGGGGACCTGAGTGAAGCCCCCTGGGGTTACCAGAATGGAGGCTGGGGCGGCTGGCAGGGTGTTCTCTGAGGGCCCTTGCCTCTCGCAGGAGGTGGGTATTTTAAGGGTTGATACTAGTTACCCAGGGTGAGCTACTGAGTTGGCTGCTTCTCTAACTCGTGTTGAAGGCACCTAGAATGTGGCTGGCCCTCCAATCTGCCCTTGGGGTGCTGGGCTAGCAGCAGCCCCCACCTGTCGGGCTATGCGGGAAGGGCCTGACCTCTCCTTTTCTTCTCTAGACGTACAGAAGCTGATGGCTTGTGCGCTGGAGAAAGCCCTGAAGGAGGACGGCTCTGCAGGAGAGAGCCTGGACTCTGTCTGTGGGGAGCCGGGCAGAACGGGACTCGAGGAGGCGGTGGCTGCAGCATTCCCACCTACCCTCAGTGTAACGCCGGCCAATGGTACTGGCCCCAGCTCCCCACCCCATGTGTTCTGTGGGCAGGGCCTGTTCCTGAGCCCAGGAGAGTCGTCCTCCCAGTCAGAGTGTCTGCCACGGCCAGGCAGGCCAGAGGCTTGTGCAGCATGTGCTGCTCCTGACTCAGCCCGCGTGGCTGTGGGATACGCCCATCCCCTGATAGGGGCGTGGGGAAGGGCTGAGGAGTCCCCGAGCAGCACAGCTATGTATGCAGCCTGGTCAGCACCCCTCCAGAGGGGCTGCTCCTTGGGAAATGGACTTCCGCTAATCTGGCGCACAGGCTGCAGACCAGGTGACTCTGCCTCCAGCGAAGCAATGGGGCTTCCTCAGACACCAGCTCTTCTGCCATGGAGGCCCCTGGATCTCACACAGACCCTGTCCCGACAGGCTGTTCGGAGTGTGCTGTGTTGCTCTGGTAGCGTGGAGCGGAGCCACCTGCTCCCTGCTGGAGATCACAGCCCCCCAGAGGGCAGAAGAAGAGGCAGCACTGCAGGCTGGGGGTGTTCAAGCTCCATACAGAGCCCTTGATATAGAAAAGGGGAGGGGGAATCAGTTGGCTGGCTAGTGTCTGAGGAGCGGAGGGTCCATGCTGCTGTACAGAGCCGTGGCAGGGGACAGGAGTGGGAAAGCCCTGGGCCAGTATGCTCAGGTGGGGAGAGTCTAAGGGAAGTTACAAACCAGCCTCATGCTCCCTGTGGGCCCGGAGAAGACATCTGGGGGGGATGGGAGCAAGACGGAGGGGGGCTCTTGGGAACAAGGACACCAGCGTACTGAGCTGAATGGGCAATCTAGTGAGGAAAGGGCAGGCCCAGACATAGTGGCTGGCGTCTTGGGCTGTCAGCGGGGAGCTCCCCCTCACGGCGCCTCTCTTCTGCAGAAGCAGGCCAGGACCCCGGAGAGCCGGGCGCTGCCCTGCGGAAGGACGTACACATCTCCTTCAGCCGCCAGGCCTCGCAGCCCGAGCTGAGCGAGGGCCACCGGGTCCGCTGCCCTGTCTACGTCTATAGCTGCTCCTTGGAGGTGCTGCGGGAGCAGATGGTCAGCCCCCGGACATACCGGCCTCCGCGGGACATCTTTTTCAGGTAAAGCCAGCTCCCCCAGCTCGGGGCTGGGAGTGCACGCTCCTTGGGGTGCAAGTGCAGGGAGCTCAGGGCTGCACAGTGGAGTCTTTCCTGTGCAGGATGCTGGCTCCAGCCTGGCCCTGGCCTGCTGGCGTATTCCTTCTCGCTCACAGCAGTGCCTGCCTGCAAGAGCCTGTAGGCTGGCCATGGCCCGTCCCGTCCCAGCGCAGATTACCTCTTCCTCCAGGGATGTGACACGCCAGCAGGGCTGAGTGGTGACGCTGCTGCTCTTTTCCAGGTCCCAGTTTCTGGAGCGCCCCCCAAATGCCACCTGGCTAGACCACAAGCACAAGGAGCTGGTGAGTTACTGCACGCTGCTGCAGGAGCACTCGCACCAGTGCTACGTGAAAGGTAAGGAGGGGCATGGCAAGGAGCTGTGCCCTGGCACAGAGGGGGGCTGTGCCAGGGCCTTCCTAGACCCCGCTCTTTGGTGGGGGAGGGGAGGGGAGAACTCTCTACAGGGAACTAGTTTCTTGTCAGAGTTGGCTTAAAGATGTTCCCGCCCGGCCCCTTGGGGCCCAGGTCTGTGGGGCACAGCTGCAGGGAGCACAGCACAGAGCGGGCACTGCTTGCTAAGTCCTCTCATTGGGGGCTTACTGAGCGGCCTGAGTAACCTTGGCCATGGTCTCCCTTCCCATCTCCTGGCCCGCTGGGCACAGCCGTGCACTCAGCCCGGTGTTACACCCACAGGGCTGTTCAAGAGCCTGCAGCAGTCGCATAGTATCAGCTCCCAGGACCTTCTCACAGCCATGGACTACTGCGAGGAGCTGCTGCAGGAGATCGACATCACCAACTTCCTGCTGACCCTCTGCAGCCATGTGCGGGCCTTCCGCGAGAGCCACCGGCACTTCCACATGCACCCCAGGGCGGCCAGCCTGGAGCAGGAGGAGGAGCCGCTCTTCAGGGAGCGGGGTGTCCTCGTCTCAGAGTCTAGGTAGGAGCCATCTGCCGCCCTTTGCTTTGACTCAGGGACGAGCCGTGAGCTCCTGGCCCATCACAGCTCGTTTCCACGCAGAGGAGACACAGCATCATGCAGCGGGAGGGCTAAGGAAGTGAGGCCGCATTGGGTTGGGGGCTGCAGTGTGTCCTGCCGGGTTCCCACTCCCTGGTGCTACCCAGGGGTACGGTGCCTAGGCACAGAATGGCACGAGATGTCTGCATGACGGGTTCTGTGGCTGGTGGACTTCGTGCTGAGGTAAGGTCTGCGGCATGGCTGCAGGGCCCTGAATCCCGCTTGATCAGCTGGTTAATACCTTCTACGTGCAGTGAGACCTGCCCCAGTCAGCACCGAGCAGGGACATTGCTGCACTCTGCCCACTTCTCCAGAGGCACCGCCCCTTCCCTGTGTAGCTGGACTCTGTGTCTGTATCCAGACCCCGGTCTGACTCCCTCTGCTCCTCTCCTGAAAGCCTGGCAAAGGCCTGGTATAGACGCAGCTGCCCCCCAGCCCTTGTATAGAGTCCAAGGCCTTATACCCAGCTGCTGTCCCTCTACTCTTCTTCCTGGGTGCTACCCCCCAGGGCTTAGCAGGGGGGCACAGTACTCAGCAGGGCCTGCGTGGCAGTATGTGTCCCTAGTGGAGTCAGCTGCAGTGGGCAGAGGTTTTTTCTGGCACTTTGGACTGAGTGGGTTATAGGTCTGTTAGGTGGCTAGGGGTGGGTGCGTTGTACCTGGAGATGACACTGACTCTGTTCATGGTTCGTACTGTGCCCATCTGGCTTGTATGCATGTGGCCTCGTCAGTGCGGAGATGGAGGACTACAGCGAGCAGGACCACGGAGGTTTCTCGTGCCCCACTGAGGAGCCCAAGATCAGCGCCAGCTGCTGCCCGGAGTTCCCCCTATCCCTGCTGGAGAATGGCCAGCCCTGCCAGGTGCACCCTGACCTGCATAAAATCATCCAGGTGAGGGAGGGGAGCAAGCATGCAGTGGGCTGGGGCCGGAGGGAGTCAGTCTCACATTCACCATCTCCTGTTTCTCTTGGCAGGAAAAGTTCCTGGAAATCGGGAGTTTGCATTTTAAGCCAGTGCTGTCGAATCCTCATTATTTCTTCTACTGTCCGCCCTGTGCCAAGAAAGAGGTGTGTGGTGGGGCGGGGACTCGGGTCCCTGTTCCTGGCTCTGCCCCAGTGCCCTGGTGGTGGGACAAGTGAACTAGGCTCCTCCGAGGAGGGAAGTGCCATTCATCTCCCCAAGGTCTGCCCTTTGGGCGTCCGCTGAGCCCCCGGGGTGCTGGAGCAGTATGCCCTGCTGCCCGGCCTGATGACTGACATGAGGTTGTTCCCCCTGCTCAGGAGGAGGCCTCCCGGGACCAGGCAGACAGGAAGGGCAGCGAGGACATGGAGGGGTCGGAGGCTGAACTGGCAGTGGAAGAAGGTAACTCTCTGTCCTCCCTACAGAGAGCATGTGCCTGGCACTAGTGCCGGGGGGGCTGGACTCCACCACACTTCACAAGGGAGGGGAGCTTGGCTGGACCGCATTTAGTGTTCCAGTGTTGTTCTTGGAGCAGTGTGAAGATCTCGCCCCCAGTTGCCGTAGCTGTACGGGCAGAAGCCCTAGTGTAGCTGCACTTATAAGTGCAGCTCGTTGGGGGCCAGTCCTGGCCATGTTGGCAATGGAGCACTGCTGCTGTGAGCTGCGTCTCCACTAGCAGGGTGATGGTGCGGTTACGCTGTGCTAGAGTGGAGCAGCTGTGTGTGTGTGCAGGGACCGTGTCTGGCTGCTGCATTGCCACGGAGAGTGACCCGGAGCTGGAGGTGGAGTATCGGGAGAAGCTGGAGAACGAGTTCCCGGACTTGGGCTCCCTTTCGGACTCGAACACCGTCAACCATGATGACGACTCGTTCAGCGTCCTGGGCGGGGACTCGCTGAACGAGCAGGAGCTCCTGGAGCAGGAGATGCCGCCGCTCTTCGTGCACCTGACCTGCTCGGTGAAGCTGCGCAGCCAGCACAGCTCCATGCCCGTGCGGTCGCTGCCCACCTGCCTGGGTAAGAGCATGCCCGCAGGCAGCCAGGGCTGGGGCCTTTGCTGCATCCTGAGCAGAAGGGTTCCAGCGGGGCCCAGGTCAGTGCCAGGCTGCTGGCTGGATGAGTGGAGCCCCTTGGAGCACAGCGCGCTCGTCTCCCCCTCTGCCCCAGACGCTGCTCGCTTGAGGCAGGTTCCTTCCCAGGCTGGAGGCCAGAGCTCTCCCAGTACTATGCTGGTGCCATCAGCCAGCCAGCCCTCCTGGTCCCTGGGAAAGTGGCTCCAGGGTGCTGAACAGGAACTGCAGGACCTGGGCTCCCCTTGCTTCAGGGGCCTCTTCCACCTGTCTGAGCAGGGCAGGGTTCGGCCCAGGACCCCCATGCCAGCCCCTTCCCCTGACTTCCTGGTGTCCTTCCTCAGGGGAAGTGCTGAGCTGCCTGGAGAGCTGCCAGGCTATGGCCAGCATTGACCTCAGCGACCTCTGTGTGACCCTGGACGTCTTCGTGCTGACCTTGCCGCTGGAGATAGAAGGTGTAAACGCTGACCTTCACCACAACAGGTGGGTGTGGGGCCGGGCTGGCTCCCCTGAACTGACCCCTCCAGACCCGGGGCTGGCTCCCCCGGCCCTGCCGACCTGCAGCCCTACAGACTGGGCGCCCAGCTGGCCTGGCTCCCCTGAACTGACCCCTCCAGACAAGGAAGGTGGAATTCCCCCCTTGCATCCTGGACCCTCCTGTAGAGCTAGGCTGCCCTGATTCCCAGTGATGTGGCACCAGGGTCCCTGGCTATGGGAGAAACGTCCCCCCCATTCCACAACTGCTCAGCCCTTGCCTGGGGCCCCCGCACTCCACTGGAGCCCCTCTGTGTGGCTCCTGCCTGGGGCTCGGGGGCTGCTGTCCCAACCTGCGCTCTCTTCCCGTGGCAGGTACACGTCTGAGAGCAGCATCTCCTTCACCCGCTCGCCCGGGCAGCCCTCCTCCTTTCGCTCTGACGAGGAGATCATGCACAACCTGGACCGGCTGCCGTCTACGGGAGGCGAGAGGTACTACACCTCTTGGGCTGGCAGCTGGGCTCCGTACTCGGCTGCAGTGCAGGGGCGCAGGAGAATGAACCCACTCTTCCCTCTCTCGTAGGCATCCAGCGCTCTCCAACCTCCCAGGGGTACACAGACAAGCTGTCGAAGCCACCATGAATGAGGTGAGCCCTGGGTGCCCTCCCTGGGTCACCGCAGTGCCGCCTTCTCGCCCAGCCAAGCGTGTCCCAGCGCGGGGACCTTTGCTGCCTGCAGCAGGCTGCATGCTGAGAGCAGGCCCCAGGCCTTGGCTGAGGACGCACAGGACACTGTCTGTGCTGCCCAGCTGCTGGGCAAGTCTGTCTGAATCCAGCCACGGCCTGGGGTTGGTGCAGGAGGGTCTCTGACCTCTGGCCACCAGTGGGCATGGCTGGGGAGGGAGATAGAGGCCCAGGGTGCATGGTGGGGAGTGTGGGCACAGGTCACCCAGATCGTGTCCTTGGCCCTTAGATCCGCTGGCTTCTGGATGATGAGATGGTGTCTGCGCTGCGCCATTCGCAGGCGGTCAGCACCTCCATCCTGGAACGGGTCGCCACCCACGTCTACAGCTCCCAGGGGAGGCCCAGCTGCCACAGCGAGGTGGTGCCGTTGCAGTTCGTCTTCGGGCCCGAGCACTCCTTGGAGAAGTTCAGAGAGGTGAGAGCCTCACGGCCCCTGCCGATGTGCCCCGCCCCACCCCCCATGGGCATGCCCAGCGTGCTCTCTGCTCTGCCCTTGGCAATGCCCCACCCCACCCCCTGTGTGCATGCCCAGCGTGCCCTTGGCAGTGCCCAGCCCCACCCCCGGTGTGCATGCCCAGCGTGTTCTCTGCTCTGCCCTTGGCAATGCCCAGCCCCAACCCCCATGTGCATGCCCAACGTGCTCTCTGCTCTGCCCTTGGCAATGCCCAGCCCCCCCCCCCGTGTGCATTCCCAGCGTGCCTTTGGCAATGCCCCGCCCCCCCCCCCCGTGTGCATGCCCAGCGTGCTCTCTGCTCTGCCCTCGGCAGTGCCCGGCCCCCCTTGCAGTGCACTCTCGTGGGCTCCGTGTTACAGGAGTTCCGGAGAATGACCCTGCCCGGCTACATGCTCAATGCCGAGGGCAGCGATTACCACTACGTGTCCGTCAGCCGTTTGCGCCCCCTGGAGACCCCCGCCAGCGCTGTTCCCAGCCTGCAGCAGCCTGCGCCAGGAGGAAGCACTGGAGCAGCCCAGAGCCACGTTGGACAGGAGGGGAGTAGTGAAGCAGATGCCGAAAGCCTCCATCCAATGCCCTCCCTGCCGCAGGGGGCTGGGAGCCTCTGGGCCTGGCCAGTGGGTGAGAGCCAGTTTGGGCCGGACGTGGGAAACCCACTGGGTGAGAGCGGCCAGACGCAGGACGAGGTGAGAGGGATGGATACTGTCTGGATGGCATGGGGGAGCTGAGCTTTGGGAACCAGCCCTGGGGGCGAGTCAGTAACGCAGCCCCTGGTTTGGGTGCAGGAGCCAGAGGAGGTGCTGCGGCCAGAGCAAAGTGGAGCGGTGGGACACAGCTCGCTGGAGGAGGCAGCCCGGGAGATGACCCCCCTGACTCCTCCCCACTCTCGGTTCCTGCCCTTGTCCTCGGAGAAGGGGAGTGGTGAGAAATCGCCATCTGCAGCGAGCCAGGCTGACTCCGGGACCCAGGGCAGGGAAGGTAGGAGCCTACATGGGGCTGGGCAGCATGGGCTGGGCTGGAGCCCACGGCACGAGAGCAGCTTCCTCGGTGCTGTTGTGTGGTCCCTGCTTGACCCAGGTGTTCTGCATGGGGGAGCCCTGCTCCTGGGAACGGGGTCTCTCAAGGCTGTCTGCCTCCCCCTTTCTGTGCCGGCCTGGGGGGTTGGTTCTGCTTGTTGGCACACGGGGGTTCGTGAACTGGGCTGTGCTGGGTGTCTCTAGACACGCAGGCTGCTCCAGAGTCAGTCCCAGGGCCGTCGCTGTACCTCCCGGCACCCTGGGCCTGTGCTGCTAGTCAGCTGGTGTCATGTACCACCCTGCGGAGTCTGGGAGCCTGGGGTCTGTGTGCTGCAACAAGCTCCCTCTTCTCCCGCAGGCACCAGCAAGCAGCGTCCCAGCCGAGTACAGAGCCTAGTGTCAAGCCAGGGCAGCATGGACTCGGATCACTTAGGTGAGATTCCCCTCGGCGAGGGCCGGCAGCGTGGGGCACGGGACTGGCTGGGCGTTGGGCTCCAAGGTGCCAGCTCCCGCTCTGGAAGGAAGCAGCGGGGGCTGTGTTCACAGGGCCCGTGTTTCTGCGGCAGGTTACGACGGAGGGAGCAGTGACTCGGAGTGCGAGGAAGCCCTGATGAGCGACCACGACCCCAAGTGCCCCCTGATGCCGGATTTCTGGCTCATTGTAAAGATCCAGCAGGACCGGGTGGAGGTGTATTCTCACACACGGTAATGAAGGTCCTGTGCCAGCTCCCCTCTCCACACCCCCTTCCTGTCACTCGCATTGGCCCGCAGACTTCTCCCGCTCTGCCCCCAGTGCCTTTGCTCCCCTCTGTCGCCTGCTCTCAGCCTTGCTCGCTCCTTGCGTCTGCTGTCTGAATCTGGGGCACCCTGGTGGCCCCAGCCCAGCACTGGGGTGTTCTGGTACCAGCCATGTCACACGGGGCCCAGGACAGCACAGCCCCGTCACAATGCTCACGAACTCAGACAAACAGCTGGGTGGTTTGTTCTTACGCTTGGCAGGGCAAGCTGGGCTAATGCTGCCAATCTCTGTGACCTGAGCTGGGTGGGGCTTCCTGTCGCTCTGCCCTCCCAGCTGCCCCCAGCCATGGCCGTGGCCAGGGGGATTGGGGCAGGCACCCAGCCTTCCTTGCTAGCACCTCTGCTGCTCCCTCTCTGAAGCTTCACACCCCACTCAGCAGGACTCTGCTCCAGCTCTGTGGCCTCTGCTGCTCCCAGCCCCCTCCACTGGCTCCCCTCTGCTGATCCTTCGCACAGCAGACGGAGTCCCCCTGCATCTCCGCCTGCAGTCGGGGCCGCAGGGTGCGAGTCCTCGATCCCGCTGCAGCATACCTGCCCCAAGCCTGCTCCCGCAGGGTCTGAGAGCCCCTTGCCTGCCCTTCTCTCCAGGACCCCCATGTGACTGCTCTCACCCCCAGCCCTGCGCTCCAGTCCTGGGTCTCTGCTCTCACCGCCCCAGTTCCCATCTCCCTGCCAAGGAGTGACTCATTGTCTCTCCCTCTGTTGTCCTGCCAGCCACTCCGGCTGCTGCTCTCTCCATTGTCCAGGCTTGGGGTCCTGACTGGCTCTCCTCCCCTTCCATGCATCACCCCACTCTTCTCCATCCCTCCTGCCCACTGGGAGACCAGCCCTTTCTGCCAGCTTTCCCCCCTCCCCTGTCCCTGCCAGCTGCCAAGGAGCTCCCCAGTGTGGCTGGGGCTCCCGGGCACTGTTCCCGTCGCTGGGCCCCATAGCCTGCACCCTAGCCTGCACCCCATAGGCCTGCTGACCTCCCTCTCTCATCCCCACGAAGCAGCCTGAGTGCAGAGCAGGTGGTGATGGCTGAGGCCGGGAAGGAGCCGGCCGGGGAGTGTCTGCGTCTCCACCAGACCGTGGTGAGGAAGATTGGCGAGATCTGCAGGGTCGTTAACCAGGTAATGTGGCTGGTAATGTGGGCCAGCCTGGCTCTCGAAGGAACAGGGGTTCCTGGGCTCGGCCCAGCCCCCAGTTCCCTCTGTAGCACCAATGCGAGGGCTCTTGCAGCCCTTGTTCTGCCTGGGGCCTGGGTTCCAGCCTCTCTCGCCCTGGGGCCTGGGCCGTGGGGAGCCGGCCTGAGCCCCCCCTGTGTCTGTTGCAGCGCTTGCTGCTGCAGGACCTGCACGACAGCCATGTCTGCAACACGCTGCTGGTGGCGGAGAGCGAGGAGGACATCTGGAAGAGCGAGACTCCCTACAACTCCTACCGGCAGCGCGCCCAGCCCACCGATGGTAAGCTGCGCGCGCTCTCTCTCTCCCCTCTCCCTCCCCTCCCCCCCCCCACTGCCAGGCAGGGAGCTGCCTGCAGCCCTGGCGTGACCGGGGTGCCATGCCCGCGTGACTGGGGTGCCATGCCCACATGACCCACTCTCTGCCCTGCAGATTACTCCACCGAGGAGAGCTACCAGCCCCGTGACTACCTGGCAGCCACCATGCAGTTCATGCCAGGTCACTTCGCCTGCCCCGTGGTGTGGAGCACCCTCATCCACGTGCACTCCCGTCTCAAGATGGGGCCCAACATGGGGGTCTCGCGAGGTGCGTACCGTCGGGGTCGACTGACTGCCCTGCTGACGCGGGCGGGCAGGCCCTGCCTTTCCCAGGCATCCAGCAAGCGGGGGTCTGAGCGGTGCCTGCCTAGGCCCCATGTCTGCACCGGGGGGCAGAGAGCTCAGTGGGGCAGTGGGCTGCAGAACAGAGCTCAGTGTCCCGTGTCTCCACAGCTATCCAGGCGCTACGCTCGGTGCTCAATGCTTTCTGTGTGGTGAACAGGAAGAACATGTTTGTCTACCAGGAGCGATCCACCAAGTCAGTCTTCTACCTCCGGTAAGGAGCCCCCTTCCCCAGCCCTGCCTCCAGTCGCCTTGTCCCTAGGCCGTGCCCCCCGACCTCCGCCGGGGCTATTGCCCTGGATTTCTGGGCTCCTTGGGGCAGGGACGGTCTGTGTCTGGGCAGTGCCCTGCACATGCTATTGCAGTACCCGCAGTGACTGCACCATTTCACCAGTGGTGCCAGGCAGACTGGGTCCCTCCTGGCCCTCCACATGAAGACCCATTGAGCCTTCAGTAAAAACCCCACTGAACTCTTGCTCCTTTTCACTGACACCTTAATGCCCCGGGCCCCACCCCCTGGGCTGAGGCTGCTGCCCCACATTCCTCCCGTCCCTCTCTCCCTGTGCTCAGACTCTCTGAAACCACCCACAGCGGGAAGGCGGGGGAAGGGGAGAGCATCCAGGGCTGCATGTGCCGCTCGCTGGCTCTGACGCGCAGTCAGGAGCCCATTCACATGGAGGATCAGACAGTAAGTCTGTGTTGCTCTCTGCCCTTGCGGGATCTGGGGCAGCTCCTCAGGGTTGTGGGGGGGCGGGTCAGTGGGCCCAGCATGGGCACGCACTGGTGGTGGGCGCTGAAGGCCTGGGATACAGGGAGCAGTCCCATCTCCTCTCTGGCAGGCAGTTGTGGGTTTTGAGGGTTTGTGACAGGGTGCATGTGGGGCATGGGAGGGTTGGGGGGTACAGGTGGGGGAATTACAGGCAGGGCAGAGGGAAGTGTGGGGTAGGAGGGTTGCAGGTAGGGCAGGGGGGAACAAGGGGGGGGGGATTGCAGACAGGGTGGGGTAGGGAGGGTCGTGTGAGCAGTGGCAGGTGCTGGAGCTTGCTAGAGCTCAGTGACTCCCCAGCAGTCCTACGTGGGGCTGGCTCTAGGGGGCTGTGGAAGCAGATGTGTCTAGTGTAGCCCCTTTGGTCCCCCCAGGGCTCGCGCTCCTCCCTGGACACAGCCTCCTGCCGCAGCGTGGACTCTGCCCGCCCCGTGGGCCAGGTGGACAGACACATCCAGCTCATGGTGCATGGTGTCGCCCCAGCAGGTGGGTCATGACCTCCTGGGAGGGAGGGGGCGCACAGGATCGATCACCCCCTACCCTGGGCAGTGGTGTGGGAGTGGCAGGGCTGGGGTGCCCCCAGAGCAGTGGGCTGGGGAGCGGGCTGGGGGGCAGGATCGTCCCCGGGGCAGCGGAGCTGGGGGGCAAGATCGCCCCTGGGGCAGTGGGTGGGGGGCGGGCTGGGCGGCAGGATTGCTCCCGGGGCAGCGGTTTGTGGGGGTGGGGGCGCAAGATTCTCTGCCCCGGCTGTTGTCTGAGCGATGCCTGGTGCTGGGGCTTGGAGTCAGCAGCTCCGCGTGGCATGAGGCATGTCTCGGGTCAGGGGAACAGTTTATCCCTTGGCCCAGTGTGGGGGGAGGCTGCTTCCTTGTCCGTGCCGGGCCCTGTTCTCCCCTTGCCCCCCCAGCTGTCCTGGACATCGATGCCAGATGGCCCCAGGGTCAAACCCCATGCACGATGTGCGGCCCAGACAGTGCCATGCCTCCCCCGGTCGGCGCCAGGGCTGCTCCTCCGACGGGAGCAGCTTGCTCTGGCACGTGGCCTCTCGGGGTTTGCTGTGACAGGCGGGTGCCCTGCTTGAGGGGCGGGGTGGGACCTCCGGGGGTGATGCCCCGATGAGCATGTTGTCCTGGGGGCTGCTCTCACCTCTGCTTCTCCCCAGGGCCCGAGATCACAGACGAGCTGGTGAAGGTTCTGCGCAGGCGTCTGGATGAAGCCACCTTGGACATCATCACTGTCATGCTGGTGCGGAACTGCAAGCTGACCCCGGCCGACGTGGAGGTAACATTTTCCCAGGGCCCACAGCCAGCTGCCCTGTGCATAGCAGACCCCACAGCCAGATCCATACCCCTGCTAGAGGCCAGTAGCCATCAGTCCTACTGTGCCCCCGCTGTCCCCCACCCCAGGCCAGCCACTCTGCCTCTGCAGGAAACATCTAAAAATCAGCATCCACTGCCTGAGGTTGTCTCCTTGGCTGGGGTACCAGGCGCTGGGGTGGCGCAGGGTCCCTGCCAGGTGTCTGAGTGCAGACCCCCTACTTCAGGCCATCTCTGGAACAGGGTGCCCATGAGCGCCCCGCGTACGTCCGCTGGGTCCTCGGGGAATTCTGTGTGCAGCAGCACTCAGAGGGGCCTGTCTGATGCTGCCTCTCCCAGGAGTGCTGGGCCCAGGGATTAGCAGGCTTCCTCTTCACAGTTCATCCAGCCCCCAGGCTCTCCGCCCACAGAAGTTCTCCAGTTCACTCTGCCCCCAGCCTCTCTGCCCTGGCTCCATGCTGTGGCCTGTTACCTGCGCCAGAACCTGCTCATCTTCCTGCACACCCCCAAGTACACCGACAGCAACGTAGAGCACCACTTCAAGGTGAGGGGCTGGGGCCCTGCGTGCGGCCGTGTTCCCACAGTGGACTGGGGGGTGCATCAGAGCAGGGCTCCGACTGGGTAGGTGCCACCCGCTGCGGAGCGTGCAGGTCTGTGGCTCTCTTGCTGCGCTCAAAGGCAGCGGCCGAGTGGTCAAGGCTGACGCTTCGCTCCGGAGCCTGAGGAGAGTGAATTCCCACCCAAGGAGATGAGCCCCCCGGGAGCGGTTGGTGCAGGCAGCACTGCCGGGTGCTGGTTCCTTACCCTGCAGTCACCCCGCACTGGGCCTTGTCCCCACGCACAGGCCGATGCCCGGGGGGAGGGGTTTGAGGTACTGGGAAGCTGCGGGTGGGGGGGGGGGGGGCCAGAGGGCAAGGAGGGTGGGGAGTAGGAGGGGCCCAGCTGCAGCACTCATCTGCGTTGAGCTAAGTTGATGGTCCTGTTCCCAGCTGACGCCGTGGAGACCCCCCGCCACGTCTGTCTCTCTTAATTCTGACAATGCCCCATGGCTCTGTCTCCTGGCCCCACTGAGCCAACGCCTCTGGCCAGCCATGCCACACCTACAGAGTGAGCAGGGCTGCTGTGCCAGCCTCTACGTGGGCGCTGAGCCTGCCCCTGGGTCTGCTGGGCTCTGGCTTCCTGGGTGTGCTGCCATGTGGCTCCGAGGGCTTCATGCCCTTAAGAAAGGCTCAGACTGCAGAGCCCGGCCTGCAGCCCCGCCCACTCCGCATCAGGGCGTGGAGGTGGGGTGGCGGGTGGTGGAGAGTTCAGTGCCCGGTGACCCCCAGCAGCACTGCTTGGCTGGCAGGCTGTCTGCTCCCCTCCCCTCCAGCTGTGGGGCCTGGCAGGTTGACAGCCATCCTAGGCAGTTCAGTGGCCCGGGCAGCCTTTCTGGACTTGTGGCTGAGGGGGTGATGCCACCAGCATGCAAGGCAGGTTGCTAGGCACCAGCCCAGGGCCCATCGAGTCCCAGCGGCTGGTAGATGATGAGGGCTGAGCCTGGAGGGCAGGGCTGAAGCAGATGGGGCAGGCTCAGGGTTAGCAAGGGACCTGCCCATGTGGCTGGAGGCAGAGCGCTTACAGTGGGTGAAGCCACGCTGGGCTGGCCCGCGCCCGCCCCTGGGACAAGGCTCTGCTCTCCTGCTGATGTGGCTGGGGCCGCCTCCCGTCGCTCAGTGGGGTGCTTACCCTGGCACGCCCTTCACCCTTCTCCTTCTCTGCTCCCCAGCACTACTTCCAGCAGGGTGGCAGTCCCGACCTAGATCTCTACCTGTACAACAAGCCTGGTGGCCAAGGCACTGGCGGCAAAGGTACTGGGGCGCTGGGCTCTCTGGCATTGGGTGAGGGGCTGAGCAGCAGGGAGCTGCTTTCTCGTGCTGAGCGTCCCGCAGGGATAAGAGGGCAGCACGTGCCCTGTGCGCAGAGTGTGGATGTGGGACCATGGGGATCATCTCTTCCCTGGGGAGGCCTCCCAGGGAAAAGCCCCGCCATGGCAGTTGGGGCCCAGCACAGCTTGGAGAGGGTCCCCTGCCCCATTCCTTCCCGTTGGAGCAGCATTGTGCAGTGTAGCTCTGGGGCTGGCTGGAGGCCCCTTGGACATGGCCGAGCAGTAGCTCCTGATGTGCTATTCTCCGAGGGCCCCAGTGTGCCCTGCCCCTCAGTAGCCCAGGTCATTGTTCGCCCAGCTCTGGGGTGACACACAGCTGGGTTCCAACAGGTAGGAACGTGGGGTAACCCTCAGGGTTCAGGGTCTTGGGTGAGGAAGGACAGGCCCGCTGGGTGCAGGCGCCTGGCGAAGGGGACCCTTGAGCACCGTAGGTACCAGCTGCTGAGGATTCGTTGTGGGTGCAGTGTCCTGCCCCCTCTCGTGGGCTGTTGGAGGAAAGCTTGCCCGTCCTGTGCTTCGTGCTGGTCCCTTGTGCCCCTCCCGTGCTGGGTGGTAATGTCCCGTCTCTGTGTCTGTCTGTGGCGAGGCTGGTGTGGCCCTCGGTGGCCTCTGAATGCTCTTCTGTTGTGTAGGAACCATGTCGGACCTTGTGCAGCACCTGTTTCCGCTCTCCCACTTTCAAGGTAGCACCTGTGGATCGTGTTGCACTGAACCTCTTCCCCTCCCCCCACCTGGCCCCTCTGGTTCCTGCCATGGACTGGTTGGGTTGTATTGTGGCTTCAGCGCTGGCTCGTGGCTGTGTGACTCCAGGCTCCCTCTCCCCAGCTGCCTGTGGGGTCAGTGAGCAGGAGGCTGCTGCCTGGAGCCACAACCCTCAAATCCCCTGGAGAGAGAGAGAGAGAGTTCTGCTGCTGGCTCCCCCGCCCCCTAGCTCAGCCCGGGGAGCTCTCTGCAATGGGAACACGTCTCCTGCCACCAGGGCACCCTGCAGGCAGTGCCCACAGGGTACAGGCTCCCTCCACGGCTGTGTCCACAAGGCCCTGAGGGGTCACCCTGCACCCCAAGACCCAGGTGGCTGCATTGGGGGGTTTATAGTGGACAGCATCCCTGGTGTGATGAGGCTGGGTGGAGGGGATCCAGTGCGATGGGGCTGGGTGAGTGCTGCGGTCTGGCCAGCACTTCCAGTGGGAATGGGGGGAGGAGGGGACAAAGCCCCAATCTCCGTCAGTGTGGGTCTGGGCGGGAATCCTGGCAGGAAGTGGGGGAACCATGATCTCGGTCGCTGTCTGTCTAGGCTGTGCCCAAGAGTGGGAGAGTAGGTTTCCAGTTTCAGCTGGGCCTTAGACATCATCACACCAGCAATGGATTAAGGCTACGATTTTCTTATGGAAGTCACGAGACCTCCATGACTTCAGCCTGCGGCGGCTGGGAGCTGCAGGGTCCACCCGCGGCATGAGGCAGCAGGGGAACCCCGAAGCTCTCGGCTGCTGCGGGTGGCAGGGGGGACCCTGCAGCTCCCGGCTGTGGCGGGGGAGGGGAGGGGCACAGCTCCAAGCTGCCGCAGGCATCAGGCCCAGCCACAGCGGGGCCCCTGCAGCTCCCAGCTGCCATGCCCAGCGTGGGGACCCCGCAGCTGAGCTCCCCTCTGCTCTCATAATGGGACTGGCAGCGTTGGCATCTGGTGGACCCCAGCCTGTTCCCCTGCTCCAGAGCATTGTGCCTGGATCCTGGCTGGCCTCTCGTGCTGGGGCAGCCCGTGGGAACCAGCCGTCTGCCTGGGGCAGGCGCGCTTGCAGAGCGGGCCTGGGGAATCAGGCAGGTCACAGAGCTGCAGGGCTAGCCCTGCCCCAGGGAGGGGGTAGCAGCCCTCCTGATGCAGGCAGACAGGGACCAGCCCTGGGTACTGTGTCCCATTCAGGTGTGCGTGTGTCAGGGGGATGGAAGGTTCAGGAGTCCCAAGGAGGACTCGTGAGCTGGAAAGCCTGCCTGCTCATGAGAGACCAAAGGAGCTCAGTGCGTTGGCAAGAGAGAGAGAAGGGGTGACTGGAGCATGTCTGAGCACCATGGGGTGGAGCCTTGTGTTCCGCTAGCAGAGGGCTCTTCAGGCTGGCAGACTGAGGCCGAACGGGCTCCGGGGCGGGAAGCTGAACTAGACAATGCTGACTATAAACAAATTAAACTTCGGACATAATTAGCCATTGCTCTAGCTCAGACCAACGTTCTGGGCTGGCTCCAGGAATCCCCGGGGAGATTCTCTCTGGCCTGCTACGCGCCTGGTCAAACTGGATGATGATCATAGTCCTCGATGAACGTCTCTCAGCACCCACCTTGCTGGGAATCTGCCACCGACACTTCGGTGCATGTCCTAGGCAGGGCAGGCTGCAGGGACCCTATCCGAGTGCTCTGCTGCGGGCACCAGGAAAAGGCACCTGCTCAGCACCTCTCTGGGCTGCCAAGGTGGGCGCTGTGCTCTGGAGTGTGTGGAGCCCAGCCCCCAAGGACGATAAAAACCTGCCGTTCAGCAGACTCCTGCTCCGCTGGAAGCATCCCCCCACCCCCTGGAAAAGGGTCGCTGCCTCCAGTGCTGAGTGGGGGCAGACCACGGCCACCTGCTGCCCTCCCTGTGTGACCCACTCTCCCAGCTGGGGCGCTGGCACCCATGAGAGTGACTTACTGCTCTCTGCAGGGGAGGGCGTTACCCTCCTGCGAGATGGATTGGGGCAGGGCCCTGGCGGCCCCTGTGATGGCCCCGTTGCTGGCATGTAACCTAGTGCATGGGTCCTGCGTGCGTTCACATGCCAGCAACTGTGCAGCGACTTGCCTGTCTCAGTGCCCTTAAGTGCAGGTTCCTGGGCCACCTTGCGCACACTGCCCCTAGGAGGGATCTTGCCCTTACCCAGCCAACTTCCCCGCACCCTCTCCCAGTTGCCAGGGCCCTCCTGGTGGCCCACAGGGAGCCAGCTCCATCTCCAGAGACACGGCAGTGTGGGGACCCCACACAGGACGATGTGCAGTGGACACTGCTCTTCGCCTCCTTACTGCACCGGCGCTTCCTGCATGGGCTGCTGTCTGCTCTTTGGCTGTTCGGAGAGCTGCCCTGGGAAGCAGTGTGGGGCTGGGTAGGGCTAGGAGGGGTTGGGTGGCTGAGTTATGGTCCCATGGCTGGGCTGTCTCACCTGCTCCTGTTGCTGCTGCTGCTGCCTCCCTCCCCCTCCTGCGGGTGCCCCTGGTCCCGATGGAGACTGCGGACTCCTGGGGACGAGGCCTCTGGCTGTGTGTGGCACAGTGAGGCCGATTGAGGGTCTGGCTCCTGCCATACAAAGAACTAACTGCTTTATGCCCTGAGCCCAGAACCCCTCACTCTGTCTGCCCCTGAGGGGGTAAAACCCCCGGGCCAAGGCTCAGCTCTTCAGAGCGAGGCTGCAGGCCTGGGGCCTTCCCCAGCATCATCACCAGGAGCTACAGGTCCTGCACCACTGCTGAAGAGTGTTGGATGCTGGCATGGAGAGGAGCAAGGACACAGATCCCTGCCCCGGGAATGGGGAAGGCATGTCCTAGCCAGGATGCTGCGGGGACGTCCAGGAGCACTCTGAAGGGCATGGGGAGCTGGTGCAGCATTCAGGGGCGTGGGGGGCAGGGGAGGGGAGGGGGCGTCGAGGGCAGCATAGCTGGACTCCTTGCACCAGCCAACAATACAAATGCAGCATGATGGGTACATGACCCACACGCACCTCCTCAAGGCATCATGTGGGCATCTGCAGCCCATCCCCTCTGCTCCCCAGGCCAGGGACCCTGTCTGTCTGCACCGGGCACTCCTGTGCAGCTATATAAGTGTGGGAATGCTAGAGTGGCAGCAGGACAGACCCAGCTGCATGCCAGGGGGTGGCATTCCCCTCTTGGCTGTGGGCACTGGCTGCAGTGGCAGCTCTCGGCAAGGGCCCAGAGTCCCTGTGGGCTGGGGGTGTCCAGTGCAGGGTTGACACACAGTCACTCGGGCTCTCCTCTCCTGCAGGAATTGCGTGCATTGCTCTGTCGTTCGTGGATGAGCGTGGCAGCCCCCTCTCACTGGTGCACTGGGAACGGTCTAGTTCCCTGAAGCTGCCCCCGTCCCCGTCTGGCACAGACCTGCTGCAGGACGCAGACTTCGAGAGCCTCACTGCCGTCAGCAGGCACCATGCTGAGCCCGGCACCCTCCAACCAGGTGGGAGTGCGCATGTTCTGTCCTGGAGCCACTGAGCAGCTGCCTTGTCCCTGTGCCTGGGCAGGAGCTGCAGCCTGGCGAGGGAGCTCTGGGCACCATGGACAGTGGGCTCAAGGCTGTGCGGGGGGGCTGTGGTGGTGGGGCCCCTCCAGCTGTGTCTCCGGGATGGCTGGAGCTGAGGAGGGCCTGCTGTGCTAGGGGAGAGGGCATCATGTGGCCGTGGGTGTCTCTGAGCCTTGGGGGGGATCATCCCTCTGCAGGGGCCGTGCAGCTCTGGTGACTACCCTCTTCCCGCAGCTGCCTGCACCCTGGTGCGCTTGGACATCTGGGAGAAAGGGAACATCAGCCCCCTGCAGCTGTCCGAGAAGCTGCGCAGTGCCGTGCGCCACGCCCTGTGCGATGCAGTCATGGAGTTCCGAGTGCTGCCGGCCCCACTCTGCGTGGAGGCCGCCTGCCCGCCGGAGGAGCTAGGCAGTGGCGGTAAGCTCTGGGGCAGGATTGCTGCCATCTGGCTGTGGGGTCTCTTCTAGGTCTTCTCGCCACGGGCAGCTGTGTCCTGGAGCCCAAGGGGGTGGGATGGGCCCCAGTCCAGGAGCCAATGGGAGACTGGCCCCTTCTCCTTGGCCAGGGAGATGCTGCTCCGGCGCTGGGTCCATGCCTCTGCCCAGGTTCTGATATGCACTCTGTCTGCAGGAGGCCTCCGGAGGACCATGTCGGAGACCAAGGGGCTGGCTCTTCCTGCGGGCAGTGCTGGTGCCAGTAGAGTGCCCCCGCCCCCTCTGCACTTCACCTCAGCCCCCGGCTCTAGCTCCGGCGAGCCAGTCACGCCCACAAACAAGATGGGGCGCCGGAGCTTCTGGGACATGCTGGTACAGTCAGAGGGACGTGGGCTGTAGCAGGGTGCTCAGACTGAGCCCTGCCCCGGGGCTGCGGTCACAGCGGGGCCTGGGAGGGGAGGAGCTGGCTGTACTGGGATGGCAGTGGTGGGGACGGGCCTACAGCTGGAAGCCAGCTGGGATGGGTGGGCAAGGGGAGCTCAGAGCTTTGCCTCTCTCCACCACTTCATCCCCTCTCGTGCCCCCTGCCCCCCAGAGTAAGGCCGACTCCTCGGAGCTGGGCAGCCCCAAAACCACTGACGACATCGTGCTGGAGCGGCCAGAGGAGAGTCGCACCCGGCGCCGCCACAAGACCGAGAGCGTCAAGCAGCACCTGAGCCAGGAGCGCGCTTCCGCCACGGCCGAGCTGGAGCAGGCCCAGAGGCAAGTGCCCCCGGCGCTCCCTGCACGGCCGGCTGGCTGTACCCACAGCAGCCCGGGAAGGCGCGTGGTGTGGCGCTGTGTGCGTGGCAGGACTCGGAGCAAGAGGGGCCTTGGCCCACCGGGCCCGAGGCTTGTGGCGACCCACACGGGGCATTACGCATGGACAGGGAGTGGCCAGACATCACCATGGCGGGGGGGGACACACCACCATTCCCTCATCCCTCTAGCTTCTGCTTCGCACTGCCCCTGACGTCTGTCTCTGGCCTCGGCTGCATAACCAGTGCCCTGCCCCCACAGGCGCCAAGTCTGCCAGCTCCAGGAAGGGGAAGTGGGCACCATGCACCCGCTCTTCAGTCAGACCTGCCGGCAGTGGATGGCGTTCATGAGTCGGCTGGGTATGTACCACGGGCCCATCTCCCCTGCCTCCCAGGATGGGGCTGGAATGGGGCTCTTCTCCCCGAAGCTTTGCCTGTAGGTCCCTGTGTAACCATTCCTTCCTCTGGCCCACGCTTGGCCCACCCTGTGCCTCTAACCCAGCATGTAAGTGCTGTTTGTTTCCTTAAAGGCACCATGTGCCCGGGGTGTGGTGTAAACAGTAACACGGCCTCCGACAGATGGGCCTGCGCTGGCCAGCCAGTGCCTAGTGCTGCACACGGCGGCCTGGGAGACCTGGTCGCTCTCCCCAGCCCATCAGGAGGGCTCGATGTGGGAGGCGTCTGCAGCCACAGGGCTCCTGCCAGAGGGGAGATGCCGGAGCCCAGGCCTCACACAGTGCGCTGGAGATTCGGGCCCTGTCCAGCTCCGCAGAGGAGAACTGTTCCTTGGGAATACCTGCCTGAGATCCTCGCAGCTCCTCGCAGTCCATGCCCTCTGGCTCTGCCAAGGGCGTCCCCACTAGGGTGCTCACGAACACTCTCTGAGAACCCGGCAGAAGGCCAGCTCCCTCTGCTCCCAGCAGGCTGCTTTGTAGCTGGGTATGTCTGTGGCTCATGCCGCTTCTCCTGTGCGGGGCAGGGTGTCCTTCGGTGCAGCAGTGCTCGGTGGAGATCGTCTCCCGCTTCCTGCTCGCCTCCATCCTGGAGGAGGTGGTGAGCCTGGTCATGGCCCTGGCAAGCGACACCATTGTCAAGGTGTTCCAGCAGCACTGGTGAGTGTCAGACTGGGGGGATCAGCCGTGGGGTTGGGAGGAGGGCCCAAGGAGCTTGGCTGGGAGGTAGGGTGGGGGGTCACTGGCAGGGATTGGGTGGAGTGGCTCCTGGCGGCCAACGCTCTGTGTGGTGCTCTCCCCTGCAGCTGCCCTCAGGGCACCACCTTCCTTCCATACAACCCTCGTCAGAGCTCCAGTCCTCGGCCTGCAGCCATCAGACATTTCATCCTGCTGGGACGCAACTTCCACCAGTGGCGCTCCAGCACTGAGCAGGGTGAGTGCGGGCCGGGTGCAGGCATTCCGTGGGCCTGGGGGGGCAGCCAAGGGGGCCCCAAGCTAGCAGTGCTGGGAGAGGGCAGGCGCCCAGGCAGAAACTTCTTGTGCCCAGCTCCGTGCCCGCAAGGCTTTTGTTCTCAGACTCGCTCGTGGCCCCTGTCTGGCTTGTCTCCGGGTGGGACTCAGGCTTGGGCAGTACGGGCTCTACCCCAAGCAGTAGTTCTCCCTCTCCCAGTCCGCCTGAACACACCACGTGGCACATCCTCCAGGAGGAGCCATTGCTCTGTGACACGCTCCAGGCAATGCGTGTGGCGCAGGCTGTGCCAGGCACCCCTCAGGCCAGCACCGGGCGGGTGCGGGTAACTGAGCAGCGGGTAACTTTCCTGGGCCAGGGCCCCCCGAGGAGTTTTATCCTGTCTCTGCTTTGCCGGAATCTCGCAGCGCAGCGAGTGGGTGGTGCGCCGTATGGAGAAGGGAAGGTCAGGCCCATTCCTCCTCCTCACAGACAGGCCCTACAGAGACTGCAGGGAGAAACAAGCTGGCGCCCCTGGGGAACATGCTGTGCTGGTCCCAGACGTGCTGCTCCTTCATCAGAGTGGTTAGCTGGCTCGGATGATGCCCACCCTGGCTGGCCTCCCGTGGGGGTTCTGCCCTTAGTCCCCCGTCCCCTTGGGCAACACTTCATGCCCATGTGGAGCAAAGGGAGGGGAGTGAGGTCCCAGCGAGACCGGCTCGGACCTGGTGCTCAGCAGAATGTGGAGAGCAGCGAGAGGAACTCCTCCAGCATCGGCTCTATCAGAACTTCATCCTCTGCTGAGAGAATCACGGGGGGCTGCTGCTCGTGGAGTGGGTGGGTGTATGTGCGCCCAGGGTCCGGTCCTTCCCATTAAAATTCAGGCCTGGTCTCTGGCTGGCTGCAGAGCTCTGGGGCTCTGACCATACCAGCACCCAGGGGTGCGGCAGCCAACACTGGTGGTCAGCTCATGCACTCTGCAGGAAAGCTCTTCGGGAAGGTTTGACCCTCCCATCATGTGCCCAAGACCCTGACGGAGCCAGGGCAGACGAGGCCTGATGTTCCTGACTAGAAACCACATCTGCTTCCCGAGAAGGGCCAAGACCAGTGCCCTACAGTGGCCTGAGCAGGTTTTGCCATCAGCTCCCCTCCAGCCCTCTGGGTGGGCTCCAGGCACAGGCTGGGCACTTTGCAGCTGGGCACCTTCACTCTTGCAGGGCACTCTTCCAAGCCACGCCCACAAAATAAGCGCTGCCCATGCGTGTCTGCCAGCGTGGTGCTGCTTGTGCCAGATGTCCCACACAGGCCTGCGCAGCGCCCGAAGCTGCCCTGGGTTCCCCATGGCGGGGTGTGCACATGCCCCTGGGCCTGGCACCTTGGCTGGGGAAAAATAAAACGGCTTCCCAGCGCCAGCCACTCGTGGCTCCAGAACGTGGTCACCTGCAGGAAATTGCGCAGGTCTGTGACCCGCTCGCACGGGGGGTGAAATAGTGAGCAATGCTGATGTCTCAGCGATCATCGCAGGCAGAGGCGCTAACCCCTTCGCACTGTGCAGACCCCTTTCCGCAGCAGCTGCGCAGGCGTCATGGCGTTGAGGTTTTCCTACGAGCTGAGAGTGGCAAGTGAGAGCAGCTTGGGAGAGGTGGCGCTGCACGGTACCAGCCTGACCCGAGCCCTGCTCCTGTCTTGCCTGAGCTCTCCGCCTTAGCCCTGCCTGGAGTCAGGGATGTGCCCATCTTTGGCTGGGGGTGCTCCCATTCGCCTGCGCTGTCATGGTCCCTTCCCGCCCGTGTCCTGACTAGACCCCAGAGCAGGTAGCGCTGGCCGGGCTGGGTCCTGCCCAGGCTCGGGGAGCTGACATTGTCTTCACCAAGAGCAGGTGTCAGTAGGTTGAAAGTCTCTCGCTGGAGTGATGAGCTGGCGCTTGGGCCTCGCCCCGCCCAGTGGAAGGGCCAGCTGCAGGCTGTCTCCGGGCCTTTGTGCTGGAGTAGAAGCGAGTGGCTGTGCGAGTGCTCATGCCACGGCGGGGAACACTGCACGTGCTGCTGATTAGGGCTAATCTGACCGGGTTCAGCCACGGGGCTGTCCTGATCCCAGGGGCTGCAGACACAGGAGACCTGCAGCCAGCTGAGGGGCTGGGCGCTGTGCTGCTGTGGTTTGCCAGAGTGCCCTGAGCGCTCATCCTCCCTGGGAGAGGCAGGGATCTGGGGTGGCTGTTGCCTAGGAAGTGGGGAAGCCAGGAATAGCTGCTTCCCAATGCTTTACAGACTGAGGCAGGGCCTCGGGTGCAGCATGGCCAGGGGACTGCTCTGGCAGGGCACCCGGGGCTTGGCCTCATGGAGGGTCACCCCAGCATGGCGGGTAGGCCAGCTCCCTTTCCCTGCGATGTCAGCGCAGGGAGGGGGTGTGGCTAGGATGCCCTTATCTCAGGACTGGATGGGGGGGAGGGGGCCTTGGCTCCACCCAGGACTTGGCATGGCAGTATCACAGGGGCCCTGGGCTGTGCCGCTCCATAGTGGCTGGTCGGCATCACGCCGCTTTGGGGACAGGGCTGGGGAGCACAAGGGGAGTGCTCTCTACAGCTTGGTGGCACTCAACGTTTGGTCGTTCCCTACATCCCCACTGAAATGTACCCACCTCTGGTATCAGACATGGGCACAGAACCCTGCAGCCCAGGGCAACTCTGCCAAGTTGCTCTGGGATCTCAGTGCTGAGGGTGGGGTGTGGGCTGTTGCCGCTGCACGGCCCAGCCTGCTCGGAGCGAACACTGGCATGCGTGGTTGGGGATGAGGCTGGAACTTATGGTGCAGCCCTCCTGGCCAGCGGGGTCTTGGCAGGCTGCAGCGCTGATACACGCCAGCTGGTTCCCGGCTAGTTGCTGTCATGGATCTCCTTCCCGAGGACAGGGGGTCTGTGGCACCCAGGTTCCTGCCGACGCCTCCATGTGGGGTACGGGCAGCGAGCAGCGAGCAGCAGGAAGGCACATGGTGGTTCTCTCTGGTCTCTTTCAGCCCACAAGGGGCTCCAGCACTTCGAGGCCATGGAGCTGAGCTTGGCGGAGAAGGGCTCCGACTCCAGCCCCTCGCTGGCCCCGCGGCAGAGATTCCTTCTCCTGGAGATCCTCGACAAGAAGGTGAGCACAAATCCAGCCTGGCGCTGCAGCCTCTCCGGGCGGGGGCTGTGGGTAAGGGCAGCCTGGCCTGGCTCCTCACAGGGCCCTGTGTAACAGTGGGGTGGGCAGTGCTGGGCAGCTGCCTCCCTGTCTGCCCTTGCATGGCAAACCCTGTGGTCTTCCTGTGGCCTGGTGCTGCCACCCCCTCCGGCTGGGCATGCTGATAATAGCCTTGGTGGCTCCCAAGGGCCCAGGGCCAGCCTGTGCTCCCAGGCGCTTTGCAGTCGGCAGCTCTGGGCCCTCGTGCTGCAGAGCAGGTGTGAACACCAGGACACATCACCCTGGTGATCGGCTGGGCGCTGAGGTGGTGCTGTGCCCCCGCCCCCCCCCGCCCCATCCTGTAGGGGAAGCCGGCTGGTGGTGCAGCAGCCTGGCCATGGCTCAGCGGGTGCGGGCCTCCCCCAGCAGAGCTCTCACTATCTCCCTTCCCCTCTAGCTGATGCTCTACACCTACAACTGGTCCCCGGACCTGGGCAGCTCCTTGAACAGCTCACTCACCCGCCTGCTGCAGTGGCAGAACGCCCGCTCCCACATCGTGCATTGCCTCCTCAGCCAGAAACTGGGGCTCTTCCACCACTACTGCTACCTGGACACACCCTGGCATGAGGACAGCAAGCAGGTAATGGCACTGCCAGCCCCACGATGCTTTACTGCTGTAGCTCCCACCTGGGCCGCTCACAGGTCACCACGAGTGTCTGTGTACAGCCACAGTTCTGTTCGGCAATTCTAACCCAGAGCCTGTCCGCAAACACAAGGCACATGCTGGCTCCCGACAGCCTTGGTTACTACCTGTCGGGTGACCCCAACACACTCCTAGTCCCGAATTCCCCCGAGAAATGTGAGCGCTGTTCTGTCCAGCCCTCTTCTGGGCCGTCCGGATAGGTCCCTTGTTCCTGCACGGGACCAACATACAGCAGCTTGCCGCCTGCAATGGAGCTACCCGCACAGCTCACAGCGTGGAACTAATTTTGATTAAAGAATAAAACCAGTTTCTTTAGCAACAGAAGCTAGGATTTGAAGTCAGTACCAGTAATGAGGCATTAAAGTCAGAAGTGGTTACAAGAGAAATAAAGATAAAACACATTCTAAACTTAAACTAGCCTTGGTTCAAGGTGAAGTTCTTACCACAGGTTTTCAGTAGCAATGCTGACCAAGTTTCAGGTCAGGCTCTGCTCCGAAGATCTGCGGCTCTTTCTGCTCTCTTAAGTGAAAAGAGAGAGAGAACTTGGGGTGGTTTTGTCAGTCTCCTTTTGAAGTGCATTTTCCGGAGAGTGACCCCTAGATAAAGATCTTTTGGGCTCAGAGAAAGGAGACATGGAGTCTGGTGGGAAAGAGGTTTCATGCCGTTGTTTGCTAAGATGCAGAATCTGTTTGGCAAGGAAGGGGGTCAGGAACAAAGAATGGCTGCTTGAGAGGTGATGGCTAAGGCAACGTTTTAGTCACGGGTATTTTTAGTAAAAGTCATGGTCAGGTCACTGGCAGTAAACAAAAATTCCTGGCCTGTGACCCTTCCATGACTTGTACTAATATACCCCTGACTAAATCTTGGGAGCTTGGGGGGGGACCCCGCTGCTGCTGCGGGGGGTTGGCAGGCTCCCTGCCTGGCTCCGCGTGGCTCTCTGGAAGCAGCAACATGTCCCTTAGCTCCTAGGTGGAGGCGTGGCCAGGGGTCTCTGCGCACTGGCTTCGCGGAGCCCATTGGCCGGAAACAGCAGCCAATGGGAGCTGCGGGAGCAGCGCCTGCAAGCGGAGGCAGCACATGGAGCCACCTGTCCGTGCCTCCATTCCTAGTAGCTGAGGGAGGGACATGTCGCCGCTTCCGGGGAGTCCCCTGAGGTAAACGCCAGCCGGAGCCCTCACCCCCTCCTGCGCCCCAATCTCCTGCCCGAGCCCTAAGCCGCCTCCCACACCCAAATTCCTGCTGGGATGGGGTGCAGTGGCCCGAGACTGCCCCAGCAGCCGGCCAGTGCAGCTGACCCAGGGCCTGCCAGAGCTGCTCAGGCGGCCCCCAGATCAGCCGTACTGACCGCTCCAGCAGTCTCAGGAAGTCATGGATTCCGTGACCTCCGTGACGAACTCGCAGCTTTAGTGATGGCCCATCAACTTCGGTGACACCTGGCTAGAAGCGTCAACTTGTCCGTTGTCTTTGAGAAACCCGTTTACCCATTCCTCAGACTTGTCTGGTAAACACGTCAGTCATGATTCCAACTCCTGCTCATACCTTTACGTGTAATGTTGCCACGTGCATTTCGCCATGATATTACTGACCAGCAAGTGATGTTTTCACAAGGCATGTTCCGTACACAGATGACGCATGGGGCAGGGGTCGCTTGCTGGAGGATTCGCTGGGACTTGAAGTCTTTAAATCATGATTTGGGGACTTCAACAGCTGAGTCAAGGGAGAGAATTATTCCAGGAGTGGGTGGGTCAGCTTTTGTGGCCTGCATCATGCGGGAGGTCAGACTAGATGATCATAATGGTCCCTTCTGACCTTAAAGTCTATGAGACTACACTGGTGTGGAGGGTGTGAATCCAGGGTGCATTCCATCACACTCTTTTTCTTTTTAAGACCCCGCTGAAGGGAGCGATGGGTGGAATAGCTCATTTCCTCATTGTTTTGTTCAACAATTAGACCTAACATCCAACATACCAATTTTGGTCCATTGATTTCTGATCCCACCCTGTTCTTGTTCACCAGGCGTGATCTTAACGCGTCCTCGAATTCTATCAGGAGACCCTTTTGTTGGGACTAATTCAGCGCGTCTCCCTTTGGCACCTTTTCCGGCCAACTTGTTCTTATGAACTTTCACTCGCTTCCTATGGCTGAGCTTGCGGTTCGGGTGCAATTATCAGAGCAGCAGGGGCCAAGGGCATGAAACTGGGAGGGATAGGCCGTGCCAGGCTGGGGACCCGCTGCCTATGGCAGGGGCCACATTAGAAGTAGGACTGGGCAGAGCCCTGGGACTAGGCTGTGGGGACCTGTCCCTGTTGGGCAAGGTCTAGAGGGGCATTCAGGGGCTTTCCCAGCTCTCTGATTCCCACTCCCAGGCTCACGGTGAGGGGGGGTCTCAGGGCTGTCTCTTGCTTACGTAGGAGCCAAACCCCTTCCTGAACTCCACCCTGGAGGTGGATGCCCTGATCCGGAGCTCGAGCCCTCCCCCCAGCAAGGAGCAAGGCCGGCTCAGCAGCTCCACGCGCAGCCTGCCGTCCCTGCACTTCCCCCCCGACATGATGCCCTTCGACGAGGCTCTGCGAGATGTCACCGCCCTCAAGGGCGTCCCCCTTGGCCCAGAGCTGGGGCCACGTGACCCGGTGTCTTGGCATGGTGCCCAGTTCCTGGAAATCAAGAGCCTGGAGAGGAGAGGTAAAGGGGGGGGCCCAGCTTGTCCAGCCCGGGCATTGGTTTCTGGGGATGGGGGTGCTCACAGCCACAGCATTTCAGCCTCCCCTGCTTTCCAGCCCTGGCCTCTCCCAGCAGGAGTGTGGGGAGCCTGGCCCGCACTTCAAGGGGGGTTGGCGGCTTTACTCTGTCTGGGGGGACGGTGGGAGCCTGTAGGGTGGGAGGGGCCTGGCTCTGGCTCCGGCTCCCATGGCCGCTCCTTTCCCTCTCAGAGCTGGAGAAGCAGATGAAGATTGAGAATCTCTTTGTGACGTGGCAGCAGAGATCAGCACAGTCCAACATGCCCATCGGTGTAAGTGCTGCCCATCAGCATGAGCATCCCGCCCCGCTCTGACCTGGTCACTGCCCCCAGGGGTGGCCGGGGGCATAGGGACATGGGGGGAGGGGAGGTGTTGCCCCGGGGTGGGGGTCCTGCATTGGGACTGGTGGGGGGGAGGGTTGCAGAGCCAGTGGTCCCCCTGGGCAGGTGAGCAGGCGGGTTGGCCCTGGAAGGGCAGGACTCCCTGCATGGGCCTGGGGGAGAAGGGGGCTCCCGTGGGCCACCTCCTGTAGCTGTGCCCCTTGTACTGTGCAGCTGGCAGACCTGGAGACCCTGAAGCAGTCCTCGCGCCTGGTTCACTACTGTGCCACACCACTGCTCTTCGACCCAGCTTTCCGGCAGCAGATCCAGGCCGACCAGCAGGCGAAGCTGGAGGGGAAGGTGAGTGACTCACCAAGTGTGCTGTGATGGGGCCCACCCTGTCTGAGCTGCAGCCTTGTCCCAGGGAGGGAGCCAGCTTCCCCAGAGCTGGAGGAGGGGCTCTGCCCCAGCTGTGCAGGGCCAGGCCACTGGGCTAGAACCAGCCGGGCAGTTCCTGTGTTCCAGCACTCGGGGGCAGCAGCTGAGCAGCTATCAGCCAGCAGGTCCCTCTCTTCTCGGGCAGGGCAGCGCCTGCTGGCCGTTCTCTACCGCAGGTGCGAGCTGCCCCGGCTCCCTTGTCTTTCAGAAGCGCCATCGCTCGAGCGACTCGACGGCGTCGGGGCGGGACCGGAGCCACAGCTGCGACTCGGCAGAGGTGCTGCCCTGCAAGCTGAAGGAGGAGCCCTGGCTGCAGGAGATGTGCAACGCCTTCCTGCAGCAGTACATCCAGTACCTGCAGAGCATGGGTTTCATCCTGGTGCAGGTGCGGCCCCCCTCGCCCGCCCGCAGGTCAGTGTGACTCAGAGACCCCCCACCCTTGTGCAGAGCGACGCCCGGGCAGGCAGGGCATGCTTGCAGGGTGACTCTGGTCAGCTGACTTTGTCCTGTCTGCTTTGCAGTAGCACGAGCCGGATCCGAGCTCTGGCATTCCTGGGCACTGAGGGAAGAGGCTCCTTCTCCTACAAGCCCAAAGCAGACGGGAGTCCGAAGGTGAGAGCCGAGTGTTAGGGCGGGCATGGGTCACTGCTCCACTCACATGCCTGCTCTTGGCTACTCACCAGGCTGCTGTGAGCAGAGCTAATCACGGGATCTTGGAGGTTCTATGCGTCCCTCTCCTGGGGCCCCTGGGCATGCCCTCGGCTTGCCCCTCCAGGATCTAGTCCCCTCTTCTGACAGCTGCAACCCAGCAGCCCCCTGCCCAGTCCCTGGACCCAGTTCTGACCCTTCAGGCTCCTTCCACAGCTTATTCATCCCCTCTCCCAGAGCTCCAGCTTGGGGGGGGAGGTATTCTGGGCCCAGGTACCTCTCACGGGGCACGTGAATAGTGTAACACACAATGCAGTGTGATGCTCTGCTTGTCGCACGAGGAAAACCTGCCTGTAGGAGACTGAGGGAGCCCAGTCTGCGGTGGTGAGGGGAATTGGTCGTGGCTGCCGTCCCACCTGGGGAGAGCTCCATAGCAGAGGGCTCTTCTGGTGGCTGGGAGTGGAAGCGAGACCACCCAGACTAGAAATAAGGCACAAATGAAGCTGTGAAGTTGATTAACCATCAGAACAACTCACCCAGGGATGTGGGTGGAGTCTCCAGCACAGTCTCTTCACCCAGACCGGGAATGTCTTTCTGCGAGATCTGCTCTAGCTCAGAGTGTGTCTACACTTAAAATGCTACAGTGGCACAGCTGTGCCGTTGTAGCACGTCAGTGTAGGTGCTACCTATGCCAACGGGAGGAAATCTGGGGGTAGTCCGCTTCCCCAAGAGGCGGCAGCTGGGTTGACAGAAGAATTCCTCCATCAACCTAGCATTGTTTACATGGGGGGGGTTAGGTCGGCTTAACTATGCTGTTCAGAGGGGTGGATTTTTCACACACCGAGTGACCCAGTTAAGCAGAGTAAATCTGATCAGATCTTTTCCTCTTCTCTCCAGAGCACAAGCCCCCCAGTCACCACCTACCACCTGCAGAGAGCCCTCCCGGGCGGCATTGTGCTCATGGAGCTGGGCTTCCAGGTGAGTGGGCAGAGATCTGTCGTCCCCAGCCGGGTTCTCTGTGCCCAGCTCACTTAGGGCTCCCGTGGAGCTTCTGCGTAGTGTCTGCAATGGTGGGCTGCAGCCACCAGCCAGCCTGGGGCCTTGTTCTCATGTGCCAGCCATGCTCACGCTGTGCTGGGCGCTGACCCGGTGCGGGCGGGCGCTGCCCCTGCTCTGAAGAGCTAGCTGCTGAAGGAGACGAGCCCTCCGTGGCAGATGGGAGCGGAGACGCTGTCTAGACAGAGCTGTCCCTCGTCTGGCCCTGCCAAGCGCACTTCCTCACAGATGAGCCCAGGAAGGACCTGGCATGCCCAAGCGGCAGCGAGGAGGGTAGTGAGATGAGCAGGGAAGGGGTAGGGCTTAGCCGCGCCCCAGGGAGAGGGTTTTCATGGCTGGTTGGGACTAGAGTGGTGAGGTCAGAGATGGGGGAGGGCCCAGGCCAGAGATCTGACGTCTGGTCCAGGGGAGCTGAGGCAGGATTGGGGTGTGGTCTGGCTATGTGCACAGGATCCTGCTGGGCCTTTGGGAGGCTGTCGGCAGCAGGGCCATGCCTGCCCATGGGCCGTGTGCTTAGTGCGCTCTCTCCCCAGGGCTGTTACTTCTGCGTGAAGCAGTATGCGCTGGAGTGCTCGCGGATCCCCATGGGCCAGTCCGTCAACTCGCAGGTAACAGCTGGCCTGTGGGCGCTTGCTCTGTCCTGGCTGCTCCGGGCCTGGGCAGGCAGGGCTGGAATCTCCAGCTTGCTACCTGCCGGGACAGGAGGGCAGGGCTCCGGGTAGCACGTCCACCTTTCCCTAGGCCCGGCCTGGGGTGGCTGCTCCGGGGCTGACTTCCTACAGTCAAAGCAATAGCTCTTCTGCTTCACTTGAACAAGGGGGAAGCAGGGCCCAGAATGCACATGGACTGACCTGGGCTGGGAGAGGCCGTTCCAGCACCATGCACTGCTATGCCCTCTGCAGTGCCTTGGGGCTGCCCCAGTGGAGCAGTGATAGGGCGTAGAGCGTGCTAGCTTTCCAGGTCTCTCTCGTGAGGAGTGGGCTGTTGCCAGAGGGGCCACCTGTCCATTGCCCGCTGTCCTAGCAGTCTGTGCTGGGTGCGGGAGGCCTCTGGGAATGGGGCACATGCCCTCCTTCCCCAGGGAGCCAGCGCCCTAGACGTGCCAGCTGGGCGAGAGCAGGGGACCTGGTCATACTGGGAGCTGATCGCCCCGGCTGGCTGGTGGGGCTGTTACCCTGGGTTGAAGTCTGCCAGGCCCTCGAAGCAGCTGCTGAGGGCACATGGAGCCTGCTTTCTGGGGAGCCTTTGCGTGGGGCCCAGCTATAGACTCCTCTAGGCTCCGGCAGGGGGCCGGGTCACCCCAGTAGGTCACCCAGGATTCTGCAGTGGGTGGCAGGCATTGTCCCACCTCTGCTGGGGCATCTGATGAGGAGATACTGCCCAGTCCTTCAGGGGTGCTTGGCCTCCCTCTGCAGTGCAGGGAGCGCTGGGCAGGGCTGGCTAGCATGGGGCTCATTGCAGGGGCTGGGACTGCAGGGTCAGCCCCTCTTCCACAGGGCTGGAGTGCTGTCTCCTCCCTGTGGCCCATGGAGGGCGGGCAGGGCACAGGGGCAGGCCTGGGCAGTGCCAGGCACTGTCCCCTTTCCCACTGGCTGCGCGTCTCCTCTCTCCATCAGGGTGCTCTCACGGCCAGAGCTCGTAGCAAGAGCTGCATGGGACCCAGCTCCATCTCTGAGTCTGCGGTACGTCCTCTCCTCCCACTACTGCCGTGGCACTGCAGCATCTCCCCGTGCAGGGCTGGGGCTCGCCCTGCCAGGCATGCTGGGTGCTCTGTACCCACAGCCCCTTCCTGCCCTGGGTGCTGGCTGATGCTGGGCCTCTTGCTAGGTGGTTCCCGTGGGGGAGACATCCCAGCAGGCAGCTGGGGCCTCAGGAGAGGGCTTGGAAACAGCCTCGCTCGTCTTGCTTCTCTCTCCAGGGCTGGGGCAAAGGCGCCTCTTGCTGGGCTCACTTCTTAGATCCGCTTGGTGTCCTCTCTGCTGCTGGCACGGGGTCAGGGTGCTGCGTTTGGATGCAGCGAGTGCTGCTGCCTGGTCCCCTTGGCTGCTTGTTCACCCCCATTTCTCGAACGCTCGGGGCCAGCTCTGTCCCCTGGGTGCCACCCAGAGGGCATCCCTGTGAGGACTCAAGGCGCTGGAGCCAGCCCAGCAATGCCAGTACCTCGTGGGCGGTGTGACCGGAGCACACTGCGCTCTGGTGATCCTGGACTGGGCAGGTATTGCGGCATACATCAGAGTGCCCTCAAGGCTGCTCTAGCTTGTGCTCCGGCCCAGTTGACCTCTGGCTGCCCCAGGATCCGGATGGGGGAAGCCACCTCTGCCGCCTCTCCTCAGGCCTTCTGGGAACTGGCCTTGTGTGTCAGCTGTGCTCAGTTAGGATGGGGTGTGTCTGCAGTCAGAGCTGGCCCAGGCGAGCCATCCGCAGCGGGTTCCCAGCAGCTGTGCTGCTCCGGCTGGGGCTGGATGTGTTGCATCCAGGGGCATGTGGGGAAGGGCGGAGGGGGTGGGTGAGTGTGGAGACTGAAGCAGGCCCTAGCTCCCTGCTCTGGGGGCAGCCCGAGTCTCTGTCTTCACCCTGCTGCAATCCTTGCAGAGCGCTGCGCTACCTGCCCCAGACCCAGAGCCCGTGGCCTGACTTTGCCTAATGCCAGCCCGGTGGGGTCCTGGCTGGTTGGAGGTCCGTGCAGCAGGGTGAAGAGCTAGGCTAATGGTGGGAGAGTTAAGCTGCTGCAGGCTGTCGGGTTTGGGGCCCTGCCACTCAAAGCCAGCTGTGGGTCCGTCTGGTTCCTAGCAGCCAGGTCTCCGCAGCACCTCTGCACCAGGGCTTGGAATTGAAGCGACACAGACACAGCTGCCTCAGGCTGGGCGCAGAGAGGGGTGAATAGGCAGCTCCTCACTGCCAGGCCCTGTGCCTTCGCCAGGAGGCTGCTGGTGTCGCTCACTCTGCTGCCAGCAGGGCGCAAGGCATCTGGGGCTCCCCTGACCCTGTGCCCCTCCCCAGCTCTCCATGCTCTTCACGGAGGAGTGTGACAAGGTGCGGGACCTCATGCACGTGCACTCGTTCAGCTACGACTTCCACCTGCGCATCGTGCACCAGTACCTGCTGGGCTCCCACATGACCCTGCGCCAGGGCTACCACCTCACCAGCTTCCTGGAGGACTTCATCGCCCACCACCCCGACATCCCCAAGTTCGGCCGCAACCACGTCTTCCAAGGTGAGCTGGGGAGGGGCACTGCCCGTGGCCCTGCGAGCCCCGGTGCTCCTGGCTGAATCCATCCCCCCCATGCAGGAGCGCGGGCCCTGGCCCTTCCCCCGGGGGTGGGGCCGCTCCCCAGCTGGAGACGCCGTTCCCAAATTCAGTGCGTCATCTGGCCCCATCCGTTCCTTGGCCAATCCGGATGGATCCGCTCTGTAGCTCCACGTGGGGCACGCTGTGCCACTGCCCCCGGCCTGCACGGTTCCAGGGCGTGGCTGTCTGGGACTGAGCGACCCCAGCCAGGCTGCGTTCAGCAGGGGCTGTGCAGAGAGCCCTGACCAGGGGCTGCGGGGTGGGCGACGTTGCCTCATGAGTGCGCTCTGGGGGCTGGGAAGCAGATACTTGCTGTCCTGGTGTCCGGCTCTGGGGCCCTGACCTGCCCCTGAAGACATGGGGACACCCAGGCAAACACTGACTCCTCCTCTGCTAGGCACGCTGGCCATGCCCACCAACATGATAACAGCCCACCAGCTCTACAACTACGTGGCAGACCATGCCAACACCTACCACATGAAGCCCCTGCGCATGGCCCGGCTGGCTGCGGGCAGCGACGGCAGGAAGGGGACCCCGGGCATGGAGCAGAACGAATATGCGCTGGTCTCCATCTGGAACAGGTGAGCGCCTGTCACTGCCCCAATGGCTCCGGGAGCCCTGAGTGCCTGTCCCACTCAGGGCATTGCCTGGCCAGGGCCAAGCAGGACTGGGGCTGGGAGATGCACTCACACCAGCTGCTGGCCTTGTGCTCTGGATGGTGGGTGGGTGCTGCAGCTGGTTCTCCTCACCCTCCCTGGACACCTCCTGTGAGGCCCTGCTGCCCAGCTGTGGTTGAGGGTGGCACCGCCTCGGCCCCCAACGCTCTGCTTATGCCTGCAGCTCAGGCTCCTACAAGGACTCAGAGGGGATGCGGCACCATGATGACTTCGACGTGTCCCTGCTGGTGTGTCACAGCGCGGCGCCGTTCGAGGAGCAGAGCGAGGCGGAGAGGCATGTGCTCCGGTGAGAACCAGGGCCCTCAGTCAGGGCTGGGTGGAGAGGCCCAGGGGGGCTTGGGCAGGGGAATAGTTGGGGGGTAGTGCACGGGCCAGCACCACTTGCATGGCTCAGTTCCTGGGGGCACGAACAGGGTGGCTGTGCCAGTGCAGTCCCAAGGTAGCATTGGCTGGCGGCGGGTGAGGGCCTGGGTCAGGTGGGCACTGGCTGGCACGTCTGCCTGGGGAAGGAGTGTTTCAGGAGGCCCTGGGGGCATAGAGCCTGGCTGGCAGGGGCGCCCCCTCCTCACAGGCGTCTCCTCTTCAGGCTGCGTTTCTACGTCATCATGACGAGCCAACGGGAGCTGTTTCCCCGGCTGACAGCCGACATGCGGCGCTTCAAGAAGCAGCCACGCTTACAGCGGGAGAGCGCACTGGAGCCAGTGGTGGGCCGGGCGGCATGGGAGGCGCCGGAGCCGGGTCAGGGCTGGCAGCAGCAGGCGGAGCGGGAGCTGTGGCAGGAGGGAGAGGACAGCAGCGAATTCTACGCGGGCGGTGCCCAGGTCAAGCTGGGCCCTGGGCTGTTCTACACCTCGCCGCTCTTCCCCCTGCTGGCCTCCGAGGTGGCCGTGGCCCAGAAACAGCTGAGCAGCATGGTGCACCTGGCCAAGTGCCACTGCCGCAGGGACAACCTCTGGAAACGCCTCTTCCTGCTGGAGCCGCTGGCCTCGGACAAACTCAAGCTGGGCAAGCTGTCGCTGGGGGAGCTGGAGGAGCTGCTGAATGCAGTGCACGGGAAATCCATCGCTGACATCGACCCCCAGCTGGTGAGGGGCAGGGGGCGCGCACACTCCTGTGTGTACACTTACGTACACACACACACACACGGGACCCATCATCCCACGCTGGAGATACGCATGTGTGTACACACGTCCCCAGGGCCCATCATCCCCAGCTGGTGGGGGGAGGCACATGCACACGCTGGGGACAGGCAGAGTCCCAGCTGGTGAGGGGTGGGAGTGGAGACGCGCATGGCGTGTGGGAATCATCGGGAACATTGTGGCACTGCTGGGGATGTAGCATGTGGGAAATCCCAACTAGCTGTGGGGCATGGTCCAGGGGGCTGGCAGGGAATTGGGTTTGAGCGCACATCTCGTGAGTTTTGGCGCCAGGGGGCCGTCAGGAACTGAGTTTGAGCGCACATCTCATGAGTGTTGGAGCTCCTGGGCTGTGTTGCTTCTCTGGCCTGGTGGCCTCTCACTGCTGTTCAGGGGGCCTGGCCTCACCCTCTCTCCGTCCTCGCAGGGCTGCTTCCTCACCATGACTGTGCCCTGGTACCAGAGCCTCATCAAAGTGCTGCTGAGCCGCTTCCCGCAGAGCTGCCGCCACTTCCACAACGTCGAAACTGGCACCCAGTATCTGGTAAGGGCCAGGGCCCCTCAACCAGCCTCTGCAGCCGGCCCCACCACTCCTGCCCACGCCCCTGCAGCTGGCCCTGCTGCCAGACTCCCTGGTCCTGCGCCGGCCCCCGCTCCTGGACATGCTGACCCCGCTCCTATGGCCAGACCCACCTCCTGCCCTGGGACACTTTTCTGCCCCCTCCCCTGCAGCCAGAGGTGGCTCCCCTGCCCCAGGACTCTCTTCTGTCCCACCCATGTCAGCCCCCCTGGCCAGACGCGCCGCTGGATGTGATGCCTCTGTGCCCGCTTTAGTGAGGCTGCCCTGAGGTGTGATGTCACGAGGGCACAGCCGTAGTCGCATTGCCCCGACTGCACCATGCACTGACCCCCACCCCACGGCGCTGTCAATGCGCCCCCTGGCATGCCCCACAGTTCTGGCGCTGTGCCCCTGTGGGATGCTGGGGGGCCTGCCCCCCATGGTTCTGGCACTGTGCCCCCCAGCCGTTGTCATTGCACCCCCTGACGGCCTGTCGCGCTCTCTGCAGGTCGTGCTCAATCAGAAGTTCACAGACTGTTTTGTTCTTGTGTTTCTGGATTCCCACTCAGGGAAGACGGTAAGAGCTGCTCCCCGCGGGGGCCTGGGCGGGTACGTGGCTCTGCAGGTGTGCCTGGCCCAGGGGCAGCGGAGGGAGTGCGCTTCCAGTGCCCAGGCAAAGCCCGGAGGGTTTCAGCATTCGCCATCAGGCTGGGCTCTGCCCAGAACTGTCAGAGCTAAAACTCCACCATCCCTCTCCTGCTGTCCCCTCCCCGAAGAGCAGGTGTCAGCTCCCGAATGGGGGGCCGGGCGGGGGTGAATGGGGGGCAGCAGAGGCCGTGTCTAACACACGAACCACGCTACGGAAAGTCCAGGAGCCCTGACTTGCTGCATTTCAATGAGGCAGGAGCCTGGAGCCCAGGTATCCAAGAGCCTGCTGGTGCCCTGCCCCCCAACTGGGGGTCTCATCCCATCCAGGAGCCTGTGCTGTCCAGTCCTTCCCCCCCCCCCCCCCAGCTGGGTCTGTCTCTCTGGGAGCCGGTGTCGTCCGTTCCCCCCCGTGCTGGTGGGTGCAGGTATCCTCGCCCAGAGCAGGTACAGGCACTGAGCTAGCCCCAAGCCGGGCAGGGGCTGGGGGCCGGTGGCTCTGCTGTGAGCAGCTCGTTCCTCTCTGCAGAGCCTGACGGTGGTTTTCCGGGAGCCGTTCCCCGTGCAGCCCCAGAACAGCGAGAGCCCCCTGCCGCAGCTAGTGTCCACCTACCATCACCTGGAATCTGTCATCAACACGGCCTGCTTCAACCTCTGGACGGGGCTGCTCTAGCCAGGCGCCAGCACCTTCCAGCCAGACACACCGCGCCGCACCATGTCTGCACCCAGGAGCTGACCTCCAGCAGGATCCCCCCAGCGCTGCTGGCAGCACGGGGGTCACGTGATGCACGAGTAATGGACAGAGTGGAGGGTGCATGGGGCTTGGCGGCTCCCCTGGACCTCCAGCTAGCCCAGACTCCCCAGAAGGGGTGAGCCGGGGGGGGGTGTGTCCCCCCTTCTCGGGTAGGGAGCTGCTAAGGACACTCACGTGTATTTGACACTGAATGGATTTGAAACGGAGACCCAAGGAGGGTCCCGGCGGCCCTGGCACCAGGAACTTGGCGCACCTGCCACAGCTAAACAGCTGCCATCTCTGGGCCCAGAAACCTGGCACCCATGTATGCCCAGCCTTGGGCGTGGCGACGGAGCTGCCTGGCATGCTGGGCCGGAGCCAGGCCCAGTCCTGAGGGCACCGAGCGTGGCTGCTGCGGGCCGTCACTTCGAGGGTGGAAGCAGGGTGGGATTTCAGTGGTGGGCCAGCCGCGGGGCGGCAGGGGGGTTATGAGAATGTACTGAAGGATGTCACTGTCAAATAAACTGCCTCAGACCAGCCCGCTGCTGCCTGGCTCTCAGCTTGGCGCTGCAGGGGGCTCCCAGCCTTGCCCATGGCCTTCCCAAGGAGCTGGGCAGAGCCTGGCTGGCCCAGTGTCCTCATGGCCCCCTACCCTCTCCCCCCAGCACACTGGGGAGGCAGAGCTAAGCCCCCCCAGGGCAGCGTCGTCCTTCTGGCCCCCAGGCCTGGCTGCTGAGCGCAGGGAGGAGTCGGGAACAGCGGGGTGAAGTGGTGGTGGGGGCAGCTCACCGGCTGAGCAGGGCTCAGGGGAGGGCAGAGCACGTCCTGAAGGACTCCAGGGCCCTTGGGTGTCACCAAACCGTCCTTCCACCCACTTGGCTCTGGGCGTTCCGCAGGGTTGGCTTCCCTTTGCCCCACCAGCCTTTGAGCCCGTTGGTTCAATGGCGGGGGGGGAGATGTCTCCTGGGTGCCATCCAGGGAGCACCCGCTCCTTGCCCCTTCTCTGCACCACGGTGCTCAGCAGGGAAAGTGAACAGTACTGACTTCACACTGCAGCTGTTTGGAGTCCCCTGCCCGAGGGCTGAGGCAGGCTCCAGGCGGGCATCGCTGGCCCAGTTATTGCTGTAGCCACACTCAGAAGGGCTGGTGGCTTGTCTTGGGTAGTAGCTCAGTGTGGCAATGGGCCTGCAGCCCCGCCCTCTCGCAGGGTCGGTTGGTGCAGGAGCCACAGCCTTAGCCACCCCTCTGCAAGCCGGATCCTGCCTGGTGCTGGTTCCCTGCTCCTTGCCATCACCTCCACCCCCCAGCAGGGACCAAGGGCCCAGAGCGTTACCACGTGGAGATGAAACGCTCCCAGCCTGACCCGGGCAGGCTCTGCCAAGTAACTGCCCTTGCCCAGAGCTGCAAGGAGGCAGTTTTGGGGCCTCTCCAGGGAAGAGCAGAGCCCTAGAACCAGACCTGCCCCATGGCTGCCCCCACTGTAGCCGCCTACCCCTGCTCTGTGTGTGGCAGGGCACTCCTCCGGCTGCAGGCAGCCCTGCTCTCCTGTCCCAGCAGTTGCGTGCGCTGCTTGCTCTGCACTGGCCTGGCTGCTGGGGATGGCTCACTGGAGAGTCAAGGGAGCCTCCTGCGTAAGCGGGCAGTGTGAAGGGAGGGGCACTGGGGTGTGAACCCCCAAACAGACAGGGGAGCCAGTGCACAGGACAGCTGCTTCCTCAGCGTCCCTGCCACTGAGTGCTCTTTATCCCAGTTGCTACGGCCTCCACCTCTCGGCTCCCCCCATTTTGTGGGCACAGCCGGCACTGGGCAGAAGCAGACTAAGCAATTGCTTGGGGCCCTGAGTGGCTGGAATGCCCCTATTTGCTTTTTATTAAAGAACTTGTCTGTTTTAGTAAGGGGAAGGTTACAAATATTCCTGCGTAGGGCCCCCGCTGGGCTAGCACCGGCGCTGCTGCTGGCCTCGGCTCTCCCAGTACGCGTGCAACCAGCACAGTCCTTCCAGCGTGTCTCCTGCAACAAGAGCCAGATCCGGGCGTGAGCAGCTTCCCCTGCATTGGAGCAGCCAGCACAGACCATCCCCCGGGGCAGGGCAGGTACCCCCGAGGGAGCAGCAGCTACAGGCCAGCTCCCACCAGGTGAGTCCTGCGACCCTCCCTCCCCTGGGAGCGCTGCTCCAGCACCCTCCTCCCAGCCCAGCGGAGACACCTCTCCCAGCTCCCAGGCCCTGGCTCCATCCACCACCCCCTTCCCTGCCCTCTGGGGTGGACTCGCTGGGCAGGGCCTGGCTCCACTCCAGTGTGGGCCAGGCCCCCTCCTCCCCCCCCCCAGGCTGTGGGGTCCCTGCGCTCCAGCCCAGCTCACCTTGCGGGGTGTATTCGCAGCCCACATAGCCCTCGTAGCCGAGCGACTCCAGCAGCTGGAAGAGGTAGGGGAAGTTCACCTCGCCTGGGCTGTCAGGTTCGTGCCGACCGGGCACCTGCCCAATCTGGATGTGACCTGGGGGTGGAACCAGCATCTCCTCAGGGTGTCTGGGGCATCGCTGTAGTGTGCACGGCCCCAGGCTCCGATCCGCAGGGGGGCACAGCCCCTAACCCAAGAGTCCTGCCCCCACACCCATGGTACGAGGCAGCCTCTCCCTCCCAGGGGCCAGGCCCGCACCCCCTTCCCCCAGGCCTGCCCATGAAGGGCTCTGCCTTGACTCAAACCTCCCACCCCATAGCCTGGGCCCAGTGCCTTCCCCACCATGCTTGGAGCAGAGCCCCGGCCCTCACCAATGAGCGGGAAGTACATCTTCAGGTTCTGTGTCAGGTTCCCATCCATGATCTGGCAGTGGAAAATGTCCTGCAGGAACCAGAGCTGCAATTCAGGGTCTGGGGCAAGAGCCAAGGCTGCAGCTGCAGGGAGTGACTGTGCCTCCGGGCACGCCCAGCGGGATCACCGTGGCCCCTGGCTGGCAGCGGAGACCTAGTGCCTGGGACGTATCTGAGACCCTCTGCCCTGCCCTGCCCCTCGCTGCACACAGCACAACGCTCCCTGGGGCCCACACCGCCTCCTGCAGGCTGGGGACTGGTGGGGGCACAGCCGGCATGGACCAGAGGGTAGCTCAGCCCCACCTGGGGGATGGCACCATCACTGACCCACTGCCAGCCATGCCAGCAGGCTCCTCTAAACTGCTTGGGCCGGGTTTACCCACCTGCTGCACCCCGTGGCTGGCACCCACCTCTGGCTTCCCCTGGCACCAAGGGCTGGGAACTAACTTCCCTGTAAAGGAAACGGGGCCAGGCACTACAGAAACCACCAAGCCGCAGCTACTCACCAGCTGCAGCCGGAGGTTGGGCCTCCCCACCTTCTCCAGAATGGCTGCAGCTGTAGGGGGAAGAGGCAGGTCAGTCACAGCAGGGGCCCCGCAGCGCGAGCACCCAGCTCCCCTCGGCTCGGGGCAGTCAGCGTGTGGCAGGGCCCCCTTACCTTGGTGAGGGGTGGTCAGGAAGCAGCGGGGGTCGGTGATGCGGCTGTTCATAGGCTCCAGCAGGCCCATCATGTCCTCCTGCAAAGCCACATGTGAGCCCCTGGCACTTGTCCCCTCAACGCCGGCAGGGCGGCCATGGCTCCCTCCCCTCCCTCCCCAGCCACCCCTTCTCCTCCAGCTGGTGTTGGTGTCTCGCGCAGGGGCTGCTCCTCAGCCAGAGGCCGAGTCAGCTCATGGACTGTGTGGCCCCATGCCCCCCAGGGGAGTCTCCTCTGCCTATCCCTCTCATGGTGCGGGAAAGTCCGGGGGGGGGGGGGCACAGCTGACTCCTAGCGTCCCCTCGTACCTGGGCCAGGATGTCAGCAGCATATCTGAGGTTCTCGACGAAGGTGGTTTCCATCTCCAGAGCCATCGTTGCCCGCTCGGTGCCCACAGGGACCCGCCCAGCCATGAGATGGATCCTGCAGACAGACCCGGGTCAGAGCCCACAGGCAGGAGCGGAGCCGCTCACAGGGCGTAGACGCCTGACTGCGCGTGGGACAGGAGCAGAGACGGAGGATGCAGCAAACTGCTCCAGGTGCCCAGTGCAGGAGGGGTGAAGGGAACAGCAGCTGCAGCACCACCAGGGCACAGGCTCTAAGGCACTCGCCCTCCTGCCGCGGCTGGGGCCACCCCGTACGGGGGGAGGTGGGGGGCCACTCCCTCTGAGGGGGGATCCAGGGCCCTCGGCAGCATTGCCTCAGGTTGGGCAGGAGGAGGTGGGCTTTGATCCCCCCCACCTCCGGCATGGGGCCTACAGGCCAGCACTCACTTGGGAGGGGTCTCTACCCCTCAGCATGCCCCCCACATGCCAGCACTCCCCAGCCCCTGGTGGGGGGGGGGGCACCTGCAGCCACAGGTGCCTTCCAACCGGAGGCCACCTCTGGGGCAGGGGGATGGTGTGTGGAATCGAAAGGCTAGAGAACCTCAAAGCTCACCAGCACAAGGACATTGCACTCAGCTCTCCCTCTCCACGTCCAGGGGGACGGGGACGCCACAGATCCCAGTCACTACACGCCACCCACCCTGGCTACCACACAGCACAATCCTCCGTGGCTGCTCATGCTTTCACCTCCAGGCTGAGCAGGGGAGAGGATTTCTGCTGGGATCCCGGCTGAGCTGGAGTTCCTGTGCAGCCAGGGGTGCCCCTTGGTGATTTACACAGCGGCAGCCACGTACCCCTAGCCAAGACCCTCCTGCTGCCAGGGGTACATGGCTGTGGGTGTGCGAATCACCCAGGGGCCCTTGTGGGAGAGGAACACGGTCAGGCCCCTGTGAGCAAGAGTCACTGCAATGCCAGGATCTACAAGGGGCTGGCAGAGCAAATGCTGGGGAAGGACACGGCCCAGGGCTCCCACACCCACAAAGGAGCTACAATCATGCAGGGCCAAGAAGAGGAGCTCCAGAAATGCCCTTTCTACAAGCTGCCGGAACAGACTTGTGCGATGGAGACCACCACTGAACCCCAGCACAGGGACAGCCCCACTGCTTTGACCCACCCAGCCCAGAGAACCAGGTGCTGGAGATGGCAGCCAAGCCCAGGGGGCGAGAGCTGCAGTGTGGTGCTCTCCCATGGTGCTGTATTGTAATACAGCAACAAAGAGGGATTTGAACAACTCTCCTACATAGACATGGCCCCCGCCCCCTCTCCTTGTGTTTCCCCCAGCCCTCGCTGTGGGGTCCTGTCTGAGTTCTCGGGGCAGCTGATCAGCCCAGGCCTAGGATGAGATGGGCACGGCTGTTTGCAGCACTCCTGTAAGAGACTCGTCCAGTGCAAGGCCGGAAGGGCCCATTGTGATGGTCTGACCCCTGCACAGCATAGGGCAGAGACCTGCCCCCAGTCGCTCCTAGGGCAGAGCTCAGAAACCATCCAGCCTTGAGTTACCAAGTGCCAGTGCTGGAGACTCTGCCACGAACCTCAGTTGATTGTTCCAGTGGTTAATTACGCAAATTGCCTTCTTTCCAGACTGGGTGTCTGCTCCCCCTTTCTCTGATCAAGTCTATTAGCAATTTCCCGCGGTAGGTTCTCGTAGGCTGTAATCAAATTACCCCTGAACCTTCTCTTGGTTAACCAGACTCAACTGCTGGACTTGCTCATGAGGGGGCCTAGTTTCTGATCCTTTCATCAGTCTCTTCTCTCAGCCCTCCCCAATTTATCAACATCCTGCTTCAATCGTAGGCACCAGACCTGGACACAGGAGCCAGCAGCGGTCGCACCAGTGCCAGAGGTGAAATAACCTCCCTGCTCCTACGCAAGGTTCCCATTTATACACCCCAGGATCCCATCAGCTCTTTTGGCCACAGCGTCCCCCTGGGAGCTCATGTTCGGCTGATTACCCACCACAGCCCCCAAATCTGTCTGAGTCGCTGGTTCCCAGGGCAGCGGCCCCCATCCTCTGGTATGGCCGAGGTACACTGAGCATATTAAACCCCACTCTGGGTGCTCGCGACCAGCGCACCGAGTGACCCACGGTGTAACGCTGCCGCAAGGAGTTGGGGGGAGAGCTGCCTGCCCCCATCCCAGGACGTGGCTGTAACTGACCACGCTGGGCACTGCCTTGTCTACCCCCCCAGCCCACGGCTACTAACAGCCCCTGCCCTATGCCGACAGCCCCTGGGGCAATGGGCAGGTGGTGGGAGTGGAGCCTGGGCTGAGCTGTGGGCATGGGTGTGGTGGGTCGGGACCGAGGCGCGGGACCAGGGGTGGGGGGCCCCAGCGTGTCTGGCCGTGGCGGCCTCTCTCCGCTGGCCTACAGGACCCCTGGCTGGAGAATGCCAGCGCCCACCGCGAGTAAAGTGACACCCGTGATCTCGCCCTCCCGGTGTCGGCCAGGCCGGCTCCTTCCCCCGACCCACCCCCTGGCCACGGCGGGAACCAGCCCAGCCCTCCCTACCTCGGGCAACCCAGGACCTTTGCGTACTTCACGGCCAGGGCCAGGCCTTCCCGGAACGCAGCCTGGCGGCCGGGCACAGCCCCCAGCCCCTTCTCGCCCTTGTCCTCGTCCCCTAAGGAGAGAGCAGCCGAGACAGCCCCGGGTTAGGGGCAGGAGAGAGCCTGACCCCTGCCCGCCCAGCCAGCCAGGGATGGGGTCACCTGTGCCCACGTGGGAGGGGCTCGCTTCAGGGCCGCACCTGGACAGGCAGTGCCCACATCCGCCCGTAAGCTGGGGGCTGCAGCCCCCCCGGCCCCGTGACTTCATCCAGGGGACAGGGACAGGCCCAGGGAGCTGCCTCCTAGACAGAGCCGCCGTTAGGCAGTAGCAGACGGGACCCGGGTGGGTACCTGGCTGTGGGGGTGGGTGGGGTTCGGGGCCCAGACCCCGTCGGCGCGGGGCAGGGCGGGGCGTGGTTGGGGCTCGGTACCCAGCGGGGCGGGGAGTGGAGGGGGCGGAGTTCGGCGCCCGGACCCAGGTCGGGACCGGGCCGGGGGGGGGGGG